GTTGTAAAATTGATTACTTTTCAAACGCTTTCTCCTGCAGATTTTCACGCTCAAGCAGAATTCCACCCAACCAAGGCTCTAATTGAACTGGTGATAGGTCAAGAAACTATAAAAAGGTTTCATAAACAATCTCATTAAGTTCATATGAAGTAAAAGGGTTCAGAGTTCTTAGATTTAGAGATAGATTATATTGAAGGAATCTTGTGGGAAACTGATTGGCCGGCTAGATGACCACTATAAGAGTTTGCAAATCATTTAATCTAATTTGTCTTCTTTTGTTCAGTTGGTAGCACTCTCATTTCTAGGGCCTAAAGGTATGGGTTAAAGGCCTACTTCAGACCTGAGCTCATAGTCAAGACTGCCACTCATGTGTAGTACTGGGAGAACACTGCATTGCTGGAGCTGCCGAATTTCAGATGATACATTAATTGAGGTCCCATCTGCCTGCAGAGGTGGATATTGAAGATTGACGCTATTTAAAATGTATACGGAGTTTCATCTGCTATCCCCAATTATCCTCCAGATTTATTGGTAACTGTTTGTGGAACCTTACTGGTACAAATAGCTGGTTACAAAAAATAATCACTACCTTTGGCAGTTATCACATGGAACCTTGTTCTAATGTAGCGGTTGTAACCAAAACAATCCCTATCCATGCTATAATGAGGTGCGATCCGTCCCTCTTTTGGGATCACTGTGTGGCAAACTTCTTGCTGCTTGTTCAGATAGGAACACTCTACCAGTTAGGACTTTGGCTTGTAGAACCGATAGTAGCCGAGTTGGAAGAATCCCTGTCCCCATTTACTAATCTGAATCTCCAAGTCCTGTTGACAAGTCAATATGGTCAACACTAACTGTTTAATCTAGGTCCTCAAGTGAGGGGCTTTAGCAAATAGACATTTCTACTCATGACTTTGCTTTACTGAGATACATTTGCGTTAGGCTCTATTAATGCACCGTTCATTGGCTATAGAAAAATCTTTTGTTGAGTGTTAAGAATTGGAAAACGGAATTAAATTGTGCAGTCAATTCACTTTACAGTATATTCTTGAAGCACTTCGAGATGTCTAGAAGATGTGAAAAGGCTATATCAAATGCAAGAATTATTATTATTATAATAACCTTGTAAATCTTTGGATTTGGTCAGCAAATCAGAAACACTGACCTCAGGGGTATTAATAATTTCTTTATTTAACAAGAACTACAAAAGGTAAACATAGAGAAACCTACTACAGTTAGCAGAATTAGTATGCATATGATTACATTGATCTTGTCGCAAATGGAAATCACATTAGCAGCTCAAGCATCTATGTTACATTAAAACATCTAAACTAAGATTGTATGTATATATTATGTGTATGTATATATATATGTGTGTATATATCAGGAGCAGAATAAGATCTACACAATCACCTGAATACAAACTAAATAATCATCAATATTATTGCATCATATAATTAAAATAATAATGTGAATGTGGTGTAACTCCACTGCCCGGCCCCATCAATGGGAGTTGTGCTTGGTGAGGTGTTATATTACGCGGTCTGATGTAATGTGGTGTGAAGAGAAGTTCAGTCGCTTGCTGCTCTCCTTGCTGCTCTCTCTCTGTCTGTCTAGTCTACAGCCTGTACTGCCCTGGGTCAACTCTCGGCTCTTTCCTCACACTTGGTAACGATTTCAGCTCTCTGGGTAGCGTTTGTGGGTGCCGGACATCACACTGGAATTGCCGAATTCAAATTGCCGGGTGATCTATGCTGTTCCCTTCTCTCTGGCTCGCTGCCTTCTGTCCACTTTCTCCTCTTTTCTCTGGCTCTCGATTCTGTTCCTCTGTCCCGTTTCTCCTGCTCCAGTATCGTAAGATACTGTCTCTTGAACTGATTAGCGGATCGGCTCAAAACCCAAGCAGGATGGTTCCACCCGAAGTCTCTGCAGCTCAACCTGCTATGGAGTTTTGTCTCGTTCCAGAGCGACTGCAGGGCTCTTCTCCTGCCTACCTACCTCCGCTGAGCCTCCTGCTCTCTGAGTATTTTACTCCTATACTTATACCTCTCTAGCAGCATCTGGATAAAGACCAGATCTTTCCTGGTCAGTGTCCTGCACCTCCTAGCTCTTGACCTTTAACATGAGCACTCTTATCAGGAATGTTTTTAGCTCATCATTCCTGTATAAGGTTGTTTTACCTTAGCTTGTTTCTCTGATTTAATTAAACAAAAACAATGTTGTCCATTGTAACTGCCCCAACCCTCGTCTTCCCTTATCTCTCTCCTGTTGCTGCCTTTAATTGGCTTGTACCCATTGGAGACGGTATCCCTCGCATTCTAGCATTCTTTCCTGTTCTCGTGACCATCGTCCCCCTAATCTCTACACACCAACTTCCTTTTCTTTCCCAGACCTTGCGACCACAATGATGGACTGTTCCCAACAGGGTTATCTGAGACCAGACCATACCAGCTGGTTATCTGAGGCCAGCAGTTCTATAATAATAATAATACTTGCATTTGATATAGCGCTTTTCAAGTCTTCCAGAAGTCTCTAAGCGCTTCACAAAATATACTGTAAAGTGAATTGACTATATATTTGTGGGCAAAACAAGGCAGTCAATTGCGCACAGCAGTGTCCCACAGACAGTCATGGATTGAAGTGAGCAATTTATTATTTTTTTCTTGAGGGATTATTATCAGGCTGTGGAGTAAGGAAACTTGTCCAAGGTTTCACCCTGCCAGGAATCAAACCCAGGTCTCTCGCTTGTGAGGCGAGTGCTCTAACCATTGAGATACAGGACTTCACGTTCTTTGAGCCTTCTAACTGACTCTAGTCAAACAGGCTGTTTGATTCAGTGCATCATTATATGTCATGATTCAGTGTTTGATTTCATCTATATCTAAATTCATTTAACCTCAACATCACAATATTTGCTCCTAATATTACCATACTTTTACAACCTGTCAGTAATATGAACAAGATAATTTTGACAATTACACTAAGCTTGTGTTTTGTTTTACAGATGGGCTGTGTGGTTATCAGTATCATGGCAATAATTGTTTATACCAGCTGGGCAAAGATTATAACCACTTATTCCAATTCAGTTAGCAAGTTTTTCTTAAGTACAGTTGCTAGTTCAATCCTCAATGCATTATCAATTGCAATCCTGGGAAAGGTAAGGTTATATAGTTATTTCAATTCCTAAACTTCAATGATGTTGTCAGACCCAGAAAACAAAACTTGCACAACAGTTTTAACTACAAGAAAAAGCTTATTTGGAAAAGAAAGCTCTACCTTTTACATCTGTCCTCTCCAGATTTTCCATCCCTCCTCACAAGCACACAGCTTTATACTGGTGCTCCATTGTCACTTAGGGCCGATGCCCAATTATCCAATGAAGCTTGTTAGCTCCCTTTACACTTAGGTTGAGCACCAATAACCATGAAAGGCAATGACAGGGTTTATTCCCCAGTCACAGATATCAATAGTTTGGTTCAGTCAGTAACATTCTTACTTCTGGGTCCAAAGTTAGAATCATAGAATCACAGCACAGAAGGAGGCCATTTGGCCCATCATGCCTGTGTCGGCTCTTTGAAAGAGCTATCCAATTTCAAGTGGGTTGTTTGTTCAAGTGCCATAATGGGGACTTGAACTCATAGTCTAAGACCCAATGCAATACTGAGGGAGTGCAGCACTGTTGGAGATGCTGTTCTTTGGTCAAGATGTTAAACCAAGGCCTGTTCTGCAGTGAACATTAAAGATCCTACAGCACTATTCAAAGGAGTTCTCCCCTGTCTGAGACAATCAAAGGGGGTTGAAAAAGTGAACAAATTGGAGATAGAGAATATATGAATCAAATGAATGCTTCCTATAGTTTTTTTTTACCGGAGGATAATAAAAACATGTCCCTTGCCCCCCCTCCAAATCCAGCAAACATTTGACATAAGATCTTGATAGGCTCAAGGGACTGAAAACTTGTGTCCCTCTGGTTCTGATCTGATCAACCTGCCTTTGGTCAAAGAATGAAACACAATAATATTAGCCTTGTTAATGTTCAACTGCAGCAAGTTATGGCTAAATGTGCAACTCTGACTTTAAATTTCCTACAGTTGAATGTGAGCAAGACTGAGGCCCTCCTGATTGGTTCGCGCCAGCGCCTCAGCACCTCAGGTTGTGCAGCATCAACCTCCATGGTTGCACACTACAACTCACCAAGCCAGTCAGGAACCTAGGTGTCTTGTTCGACCCTCAACTGTCTTTTCTTCCCCACATCCAAGCCATGACCCACTCTGCCTTCCCTCAACTCTGTAACATCGCCCGACTCCACCACTACCTCACCCCTCAGGCCACTGAAACTCTTGTTCATGCCTTCATCACCTCCAGGTTTGACTATGCAAACGCCCTGCTTGTCGGCCTTCCCAACTCCTCCATCCACAGGCTGCAGATAATCCAGAACTCTGCAGCCCGTGTCCTCTCCTGCATTAAACTCTGTGACCCCATCTCCTCACTCTCGCCCAATTCCATTGGTTCACTATCCTTCAGAGGATCCAGTTCAAGATCCTGGTCCTCACCTACAAAGCCCTCCATTGCCTCGCCCCACCCTTCCTCTGTGACCTCCTAACCCCCTATCAACCTGCCCGTTCCCTTTGCTCAGCCGGCTCTGGCCTGCTCCATGTCCCCCGACCCACCTGCAACCCCATTGGCGGGAGAGCCCTCAGCCACTCTGCCCCCAACCTCTGGAATTCCATCCCCCAATCACTCCACCTCGCCCCCTCCTTAGCCTCCTTCAAGTCCCACCTCAGGACCCTGCTCTTCGACCATGCCATCGGCCACCCCTCTTCCCCTCCCCTCCCTTCTCCCCCATTGACCTCAGCTCAGGTCTGAAATGCTGTACTCTGTCCAGCGCCTTGGGACGTCCTCCCGACGTGAAAGGCACTATACAACTGTAATCTTGTTGTTGTTGTTTAACATATAACCTCTCATAAACCTAAAGTGAGGCAGATTTGAATCATTGCCTATGTAGAAACTATTTTTAAAAGATATGTTAGTTTTTAAAAAAATTGAAAGCTACTATGGACTCAATGGAAAATACCCCATCAAATTCTTTCTTTAACAGTAATCATTTTGAATCTAGGTGTATCAGAAAATTGCTGTTCTAATGACTGACTGGGGTAAGTATATTTATATTTTAAGCATTGCTATAGTACTTGCCTGGTTAGCCATTACCTGAAAACTCAACAAATGTTGCATTTTTTGCTGGCAGTTCTTTTTCAGTACAGTTTCTTTGTGGAGTCCTGTAGCTCAGTGGTTAGAGCACTCGCCTTGCAAGCGAGACACCTGGGTTCAATTCCAGGCAGGGCAAAACCTTGGGCAAGTTTCCTTACTCCACACATCTAATAATAATCCCTCCAAAAAACAAAGCAATAATAAATTGGTGATTTTCAATCCACGACTGTTTGTGGGACTGCTGTGCACAATTGGCTGCCCTTTTTGCCCACAAATATACAGTCAATTCACTTTACAGCATATTCTGTGAAGCGCTTTGAGACGTATAGAAGGTGTGAAAAGCGCTATATCAAATGCAAGGATTATTATTACTATTGTACATTGTCAGTAACACGAGATCCAGAACAGACTTCTGCACAACTGCAGAGGAAAAAAAAGGTTAAAGTGTTTGATTGGCAAGTTAGTGAAAGTGACTTGCTCTGTCAAAGAGCCGGCACAGACTCGATGGGCCGAATGGCCTCATTCTGTGCCGTAACATTCTATGAATGTATGAAAAAAAGGTATATCCTGAAAAAGAGCAACATTAAGATCAACTGAAGAAGTGAATGGAGAAATCAAAAATAAGCTAAGTATCCATTGAAAACTCTGGAACTGTCCTTTGACCACTGAAACTATAAAAAGAACATCTGTAATGTTGTTAAGTACTCCGAGACACTACCGATAGAACCATAAACCCATACAAATTTACAGCACAGAAGGCCATTTAGCTTATTGTGTCTATGCTGGCTAGCTCCCTCAAGAGTAATCCTTTCTGTCCAACTTACCTGCCCTTTCTGCATACCTTTGTAGCTAACTCTTTTTAAAATATCTGTCAAGTTTCCTCTTGAAGGCCAATGTAGATTTTAAACCGTGTGAAGAATGCTATATAAATGCTTGTTGTTGTTATTGTTGTTGTACAGTTGTGCAAATGACTCTTTAATTTTAAACGTCAAAACAAAGAGGTAGGTGCTGAAGCTTGAAACACTAACTCTGCTGTTTGCTTTTGCCCAGCCCAAATGAAAGAATGTTGGATAGGCAATATGAAGTTAATTTCCCACTCCACAGCACCATACATCCCAGCTGTGTCTGACATCTGCTGTTCACAAAGACACTTGCAGGGAGTTCCTGATATACACCATTCAGCAAGTGAGGGCTCACTCCTTTGCCTATGGGTGTCACCCACTGACTCACCTTCTGTGGCACCTGTTTCTGAGTGCACAGAACTAACTTACCAAATGCAGAATAGAACTTAGTCCACATCAACAAATATGCTACATGATTACACAGAGCAGAATTACCTTCTATTTATTTTAACATTAACTGGTAGAAAACAGGAATAACACTAAACTTGTATTCCCACTCCTCACATTGTGTTTTTTCTCTTTTCTGTAGAAAATTATAGAACAATGACTCACTACAATGATGCTTTGTTATTAAAGCTCTTTGCTTTCGAATTTGCTAACAACTATGGCCCCCTATTTTACATTGCGTTCTTTAGAAAGGTAGGTAATGCAGTTAACATTTTAACAAAGAGTGACTGTTTACATCAACATTATTATCATTAATCCCTGGTCTTGTTTACTTTCAGAACCATAAAGATTTTTTTAACTCAATTGGCCTCCCTGCTTTGGAAGACAGCTGCAGAGAGACGAACACTTGCATGTCAGAACTCAGCTTACAAATCCTTACTCTCATGATCATCAAACCATTTCCCAAATATTTAAAGGATTTGATACAACCGTAAGTCTCTCTTTGTGATCTTGAATTTTAAGACAAAGTGGTTTTAACAGACAAAGACTTGATGAAGTCCCTGTTGCTAAAGCATTCCCTAATGTGGTTACTGAGCGTTTCGCCCGCAAAAAAATATGCAGTCAATTCACTTTACAGTATATTCTGTGAAGCGCTTTGAGACATCTCCAAGATGTGATAAAGCGCTATATAAAATGCAAGGATTATTATTAAACAGATTAAGAAGGATCAAGGTTCAATCTCTGCTGTGTGATACATTGACTGATTTCAGACAGGGTTGTGGTAGGACTGGTTTGGTGACCTTTAGCTTAAGTATCTGTAGACTGGACACGGAAGCGATCAGTCAGAAATCCCATTTTTCATATCTCGTGATCCATGTTGATGGCATAAATGAATTGCTCATTCAATTAGTGACTGTTTGTGGGACATTGATGCATGCAAAACTGTGCTACGATTGGTGCCTACAATTACAATCACTACACTAATATGCATTGAGACATTGTGACGTATAAGGCACAATATAAATGAGGGATCTTTCTATCTATCTGTTCCAAAGCAACTTACCTAACATTAAGTGAGTGAATGCTTGGGAGCTGTTCGTCCTTGTGCATTCATGTTCAGAACGTCCTTTGGAGCAAGCAAGTTGTGGGTGCAATGGCAAGACACACGCATGAGAAACACTGAGCAACATGGTCCATATAAAATGGCTTCCATACTGCAGTCTGCCAATTGGGAACCATTGCCTTTGCTCGCTGGACTACCCAATTCATCCCTACACAAGCTGCAGACTATCCAGAACTCTGCAGCCTGTGTCCTTTCCCACACTAGGCTCCATGAGCCATTCACCCTCATCTTCGCCCGGTTCCATTGGCCCCCTATCTCCCAGAAAATTGAGTTCAAGATCTTAGTCCTCAACGTTAAATGCTTCCATGTTTTACCCCACCCGACCTCTGCAACCTCATCAAAGTGTCCCTACCCAGCTACTCCCTTTGCTCAGCAGGCACCAACCTGCTACGTGTGGAGTCCTGTAGCTCAGTGGTTAGAGCACTCTCCTCACAAGCGAGAGACCTAGGTTCTATTCCCAGCAGGACAAAATGTTGGGCAAGTTTCCATCACTCAACACGCTTCTGTTTACCTAGCAGTAAGTATGAGTCCGGTTGTTAGTCGATTGGCAGATCGCTTTTCCGGGGGTAAAAATTCCTTCAAAAAAAAAATAATAATTTGATCACTCAATTCATGACTGTTTGTGGGACACTGCTGTGCGCAATTGGCTGCCGTGTTTCGCCCACAAAATATACAGTCAATTCACTTTACAGCATATTTTGTGAAGTGCTTTGAAACGTCTCAAAGACGTAATAAGGCACTTTATCAAATGCATGGATTATTACTGTGTTCCCTGCCCTATCTGCCCCATCATCGGCGGTCAGCTTATTTGCCACACTCTCTGGAATTCCATCCCAGAGTCCCTGCGACTTCCTCCCTCCCTCTCCTTGTTCAAAGTCCATCTCCAGACCTACCTACGCGTTTGCCCACAAATATATAGTCAATTCACTTTACAGTGTGTTCTGTGAAGCGCTTTGGGACGTCCTCCCGACGTGAAAAGCGCTATATCAAATGCAAGGATTATTATTATTATTATTACCTCTTTGACCGTGTCTTGCTTCATCTTTCCCCTCCTCATCCCTCATGGCTCCTGACCTCAGCTTGGGTGCCAAGCCAGGACTGTTAAAGCCTTGGAACATCTTCCTGATGTGAAAGAAGCTATGAAATATAAATTTGTATTGTACTGTGTTATAGTTAGTCGATATTATCAGGTTATGTTAACAGGCTGGATTTGAGGGCCAAGCCTGATCCTGTACTCGTTTTACCGTCACTCGTAAAATGTTCATATTTTTTCTGACGTCCTGTAGATGGTTGAAAAATATTTTCAATCGCCTCAAGAAACCCAAAGAAAAATCTTCATTACTGCTGAGTGGTGGCACTAAACTGGACAATGATATTTTCAAGGAGTATAGGAAGCCAGACCTTGGGGACTTCACGTTGGTGGAATACACTGAAAAAGTCATTCAGTATGGGTTCCAGATGGTAAGAGTCAATGCTGGTTACTCAAGTACTACAAAGAAGGAATTTTATTTTATATTGATTGCTTTCTATTGATTGAGTGACCTAATAATAATTTGTTTACTGAATCCATGGCTGTTTGTGGGATGCTGCTGTGTGCAATTTGCTGCCAGGTGTCACCTACAAAATTTACAGTCAATTCACTTTACAGTATATTCTGTGAAGCGCTTTGAGATGTCTCGAAGACGTGAAAAAGCGCTATATCAAATGCAAGGATTATTATTATTATTTCTGCTGCCAGTTTTCATCCTTCCTCTCCTCCAGCCATTGACTTTTGAAGGTACTTCATCCATAAATCGCTTATTTTTAGGACAATGTCATAATCTCATTTCACACCTTGATTTACCGGCATATCATGGCAATCAGCATCAGGAAGCATTGATGAATATTACTGCTCTCCAACCCAGGTCTCTAAGGTCAAATTATTGCATACCTTATGCAACTCAGGTTCCATTCCAGTAATTTAGCACAAATCAGGGATTGCACCTGATTTGTATGATTCAGTTCCACCACTGAGCAGTAGCCTGATCAGCTGAGCTTTGCAGCAGAGGGAGCTCTTTGAATTTATCAAATAAAGCAGAAGAGTAGTTCAGTTTACCTGTGACAAAAAAGACAAATTGCAAAGTGTGATAATTAAAATGTTAATGTTATCTTCATCGTTTAGTTTTCTCCCCTCCTGTCCTGAAGGCGCTGACTCCTACTGGGATGTGTTTCAAGGGAGCCTCACCTATTCTCAATATGTGAGCCCAGCTAACGAGTGTGGTTAGCCTTTTTGACTACAGTTTCCTTACTCCACACAGAGCCTAATAATAATCCCTCCAAAAACCATAAACAATAATAAATTGGTGATTTTCAATCTACGACTGTTTGTGGGACATTGCTGTGCGCAATTGGCTGCCGCGTTCGCCCACAAATATACAGTCAATTCACTTTGCAGTATGTTCTGTGAAGCGCTTTGGGACGTCCTCCCGACGTGAAAAGCGCTATATCAAATGTAAGGATTATTATTATTATTATTATTATTATAAAGGAGGTATCCGAATCCCATCCTTAACCAATCTCCATATGCCACTACTTCCACCAGAGACCACCATACAGCGTTTAGGAGCAGAAATCTGGCTAATTTATCTTTTCCTCCTTGGCCCAGGATAAATCCCTACTACTGTCCTGGTTGATGTCCTCTGAGATTCTGGTCTGTATGGTTGTGAATTTACCAATGATGCCTCATTAGGCGAGCTTATATTTAGATTGTAAAACCAATATTGATTTACCTATATTGATTCTTCACTCTTCCTGTTTCTGCTTTCAGCTTTTTGCCATCTCTTTCCCCCTTGGTTCACTCTTTTTCTTCATAACCATTTTATGTGACATACATATGGATGCCAAGTGCCTTTTGAAAGTCTGCAAACGCCCCATTGCTTTCATGGCTCAAGATATCGGTAAGAATGAACTTTATACATGGTGCTACACAGAAATAAATAACATATACACATGTTTGTAGTAGGTTGTTCAATCTCAAATAATAGAAATTTAGGAACAGGAGCAAGCCATTTTAGCCTGTCAAGCCTTGTTTTATTACATGTTCTTGTGTTAGGATCACTATATTAGATGCTTTGGTGTCAAGGTCACTTATATTAGAGTCCTGTAGCTTTGTGGTTAGAGCACTTGCCTCGCAAGCGAGAGGACCCAGGCTTGATCCCAGGCATGGTATATTTTAATATCTTGGACAAGTTTCCTTAACCCACACGCCTCTAAACCTCTAGTAGTAAGTAGGAACCGATTGTTAGTCGATTGACGGATCACTTTCCGGAGTTAATAAACCCTCAAAAACAAATTTGTTCACTCAATCCACGATTGTTTGTGGGGCACTGCTGTGCGCAATTAGCTGCTGCATTTTGCCCATAAAATACACTTTACAATATATTCTGTGAAGCGCTTTGAGAAGGGGTGGTAAGGCGCTATATCAAATGCAAGGATTATTAATAGCAGTTGTAGTAGATTGTCTGGTATCAGGGTCACTATATTAGATGATCTCTGGTTGACTACCTTATATTTTACACTGTCAGGTCACTGGTTCACCATATTAGATATGATAAATCAAATAGCTGTGGTGACCAACGCCGTCATAATCGCCTTCACAACAGAATTTGGGAAGGAACGCCCTCTGTCCCAACAGCTTGCCATCATCCTTGTATTTGAGGTAAGTTGGTGCTTTTGCTTGTTGTAGATATTAGATGTCAAAAATACAAATATTGTTTGTGAAAAGTTATTGGATTTTTTTACTAAAATATCTGTGTTTTATTGTTCCACTTGTACGATTGATTAGTTGTACTGTAAATCTTACTTTCAAACTACTCCAGTGTAACCAGTACCTTAACCAGTAAATCACGTCCCAGCACTCTGGGACATCTTTCCGATGTGAAGGGGCTATTCAAGTGAAATTTGCTGTTGTTGTTATGTATGATTAAATAATTTTAAAAATAAAAATGAAATTTTTTTTATTCATTTCTTTTAGCACGTAGTGTTTTTGGTGAAATATTTGCTAGCTACCTTCATACCAGATGTTCCTCAAGATATAAAACTGGCAATACGAAGGGTATGTCTTGATGGTACATTTTAATATCTTGTACATAAACTCTTGGCTCAGCAGTGAAAATAGATGCATGCTTTATACAGTAGTATTCAACTTATAGGGTCAATTGCAGGCAGTAGTAACGATCTAAGTTTTGTGGTGTGGAAAGTTGATATATAAATCAGAAATGTAAGTAGGTATATCTAAGTATATGCAATGTGATGCAGACACTAACAGAAACAAAACGCAATATCAGTGGAGTACTGGAGTTTTTGTAATGCTTGCCAATAAATAAGCAGTTGTTAGAATATGGAAAGCACTCAATTCATATAACAATATTTTTATAAGTTCCTGGGTAATTTTGTTATTCTTATTCCTATTATATATCTGTAATTCTTTGTTTATTCTGGTTGCTGCATAACATAATTTCACTTTATTCATTATTTAGGAGGAATATCAAAGAGAAAAAGCAAATGAAACGTTATCCATCTACCTCAGAGTACCATGAAGATGAAGATGAAGATGAAGTTGCCTGTCTGGCAACTTAATATTTCCCAAACTAAACAATGCCTTTAACTGTCATCCTGCAAATTTGAAAAAGCCGTTATAACAACAAATGCATTTCTATGGCACCTTTCCCATTGGGAGGATATCCCAAGGCACTGGACAATGAGGGGGTTTGCACCTGAGCTGTGGGTTGGGATCAGAGAGGGGGTGAGAGCAAAGATGATTGACTTGATTGCCATATTCCATTTCCAGGCACTTCACTGTGAAGCCAGCTCAGCTGTAAGATAAAGCTCCTTCATATTTTAATCCCACATAAACTTAAAGCAAAACTGAGCCATTTCATTTGAACACAGACACAGATATTAGCTGTGTTTCTTTCCTAAGAACAAAGTTTTAATTATATGTAAAATAAGCCTGTCGAAATATCAGTGTGTGTTTGAAGCAAAACTGCAGTAGAATATTTTTACTTCATCCCCATTCCTGTTAGAGTGGCCCTCTCCCCACACTGACACCCTTCTCCCTAGCACTGAAACTGTCTTCACTGGATGTTGCCGCCCCTCCACTGGGTCTCCACTGCCCTCTCCCACCCACCCCCACCCCGGTGCTGGCACCCTCTTTTCCCCCCCTCTCCAGCTCTAATTCCCTCCACCTCCGGCGATGCTCTAACTCTCTCTCTTCCCCCCCTCCTCCACTCCCAATGCAGATGGTTGAAGGCAGGTCACAGGTCTCAGGTTAAAGACAGAATATAGGTCTCCGTAGCTCAGTGCTCTAACCACCGGAGACCTATAGCTCAGTGGTTAGAGCACTCACTTTGCAAGCGAGAGACCTGAGTTCAATTCCAGGCAGAGGGCGAAACCTTGGGCAAGTTTCCTTACTCCACACACCTAATAATAATCCCTCCAAAACCAAAACAAAATTTGTCATTTTCAATCTACGACTGTTTGTGGGACACTGCTGTGCGCAATTGGTTGTCGCGTTCGCCCACAAATATACAGTCAATTCACTTTACAGTGAAGTACTTTGGGACGTCCTCCCAACTTGAAAAGCGCTATATCAAATGCAAGAATTATTATTATTATTATTATTAGATGGCTTCTCCCACCTCCTGGGACTGTTGCCCCCCTCACCCACTTCCCAGCTATCTCCCAGCTAACAGTCTCGCTCCCAGCACAAGCCCCATGAATATCCTGGGGTGCTTTTGGTGGTTTTATTGATTGTAATAAGCTTAGCTTTGATCACCTTCCTCCCCCTCCCCCTGGCTCGGCCCCGGGATCCGTTACTGTGAAGCGCTCTGATACCCCGTCCGGCGTGGAGGGCACTATATAAATCCAAGTTGTTGTTATAGCTTGCTACTGTTAGAGTGTTTAGATTCTGAAATTGTCATGTGCAACAATGATTCTATAAGGATTTGTTAAGCTGTTAAGAATTATTATATTTCTGATTGTATGTATTCTATTTATAGCATGTTATGTGTATTAAACTAAACCAAAATATTAGACTGAGTTAAATAACAAGATTCTAACTTCAATTTAATAAGTGGATTTGATATTGTTGCTTGGAATGCATACGTTTTGAAGAATGCCTCTACATACTGCCTCTGTGTATTTCAGAATCATTGTGATGTTGCTGGTAATTAAATAAAATATAAAAATATATTTTGAAAATTTAAAGTTGGGAGCAATGCAAATAAAGAATTACTGAGCAATAGAGATCAGGATTTGTATTTTGTTCTGCTGTTCTGAGGTAGGCGAAAAGCGCTTTATCAAATGCAAGGATTATTATTATGATTATTATATTTGGGGAGGACAAATTTGCAAGGCTTGAGGTTAGAAAGTTGAGGGGTGATTTGATTGAGGTGTTTAAGATGATGAAGGGAATTGTTAGAGTAGATAGAGAGAAGCTATTTCCTCTGGTGGTGGAATCCAAAACAAGGGCCAAAATCTTAAAAATTAGAACCAGGCCATTTAAGAGTGAAATCAGGAAGTATTTTTTCACTCTAAAGTGTGGCAGAAATCTGGAATTCACTCCCCAAAAGGCCATGGATGCTGGATCCATCCACACCTTCAAGAGTGAGGTTGATAGATTTTTGGTAGGTCAGGATATTAATGGATATGGGTAGAAAGCAGGAAATTGCAATTTACATGATTAGTTGAGGTACAGATCAGCCACGATCTAACTAGAAGATGGAACAGGCTCGAAGAGCTGAATCGCCTACTCCTGTTCCTATGAGAGGCCAGAGGAGAGGGATTGATTTGGATAGCTCTTTCAAGAGCTGGCACGGGCATGATGGACCAAATGGCCTCCTTCTGTGTTGTATAATTCTATGTTTGTCCAGCTAAGGCTAGCCTACCTATTAGGGCTTTGCCTTGCAGGGTTAACGGGAGCAGAGTGGGAAGAGTCCCTGCCCCCATTAATTGGTTGGCCCCTACAAGTCCTACTTCTAAGTGAGGCTGGTTAGGCTGCCAGGCATACTGTCCCCCTGACTTCCTCCCCCCCCATAGGGTAATCACTAATCGGTCATTTGACATCCGACAAGCACAGGTTTAAGACCTCACTGGATGGAGAGCAGGTTCCAGCAACTCCCTGCAAGCTTCCTGGTTGGGCAACATCATGCCGCATGAAAAGTCTGAGAGCTTTGTCACCATCCACCTGCCCAGAGTTTGGACATGCATCCCTTCCCATTGAGTGGTGGTTCCACTAGACATAAGTCGAGAGCTTGAGCAGCAACTGCTTAATTCGCTGTACACCAATCAAGGGATATATAAACCTGTGGTAATTAATTCAGACTCCGGGTAATGACTTCCAGTAACTGTTGTTCCAAGACTTAGACTTTCATCATCAGTTATCTGATGGACATCTGCCTTCAGGGTGGTTGGAGGACCTTTACAGCACAATTTGTAACCTATTAGTAACATGATGTTCTCAAGGTCAAAGTCCAATACAGCATACCAGGCTTACTCAGCACCAGCTGCTCTATCCAGATCCTCATGTGAGGGGCTTATGTTAGTAGTTGAAGAGGCTTCCCTGATTCAAATATCGTAATCATTGAACGACCCGACATTCCCAATTGGGTGTCATCAAGGTTTATTGTAACATAAACAGAATTACTAATACAACAGGTATTTCAAACAATTCTTACAGAATCAAAACCCTATTACCCAGTTCTTGAGTCTGGACAGTAGAGCAACAAGTAAAGCTGTCTCCTCTCTCTTTCTCTCCTGCTGCCTCCACTGCCTTGAGCCTAATCCTAACCCTATTTTTACAGCATTAACAGGATGATTCTCTGCATAAGCGTTGCCCCTGTTCACATGCTTTTCTCCCCTTCCCCGAATTAGATGTTTCTCACGCGTTCATTCGTTATCTTGCTTCTCTACCCCCTCCTCGCTCCTTCCCTCCCCTCACCCTGACCATTTCCCCCTGCTCGGGTCCTGACCCAACTTGGGACGTCCTCCCGATGTGAAGGCGCTCTATAAATGGAATCTTGTTGTTGTTGTGGTTTAGCATTATTGCAAAGCTGTTACACAAACTGCATGACTTATCTCGGGGTCGCAAGGCCTGATAATAATAATAATACTAATCCTTGCAGTTGATATAGCGCTTTTCAGGTCTTCTAGACGTCTCACAGAATATATTGTAAAGTGAATTGACTGTATATTCACGCGAAACACGGCAGCCAATTGCGCACAGCAGTGTTCCACAAACAGTCGTGGATTGAGTGACCAAATTATTATTTTTTTTCTTGAGGAATTATTATTAGGCTTGTGGAGTAATGAAACTTACCCAAGGTTTCGCCCTGCCGGGAATCGAACCGAAGTCTCTCGCTTGCAAGACAAGTGTTCTAACCACTGAGCTACAGGACTCCTGATAACTCCTCCGTCTTCTTGTAACCATCAGTTCCTTATATGGTCTTGCTATCGTCACCTTTGTCCTGGGCCGCTCGCCTGAGACCCCTTGCAGTTTATTATCTGTATAGCCACCAGGCAAACTGTTCTGCAAACAACTTAAAACATAGCTATTAATCATCAAACAGCAGACATCGTGGTCTAACCTGTCTGTCTAAATAATGACATAACATAATACTTCTATTTAAACAAACCTCTAACCCATACCCAATTTGCGTGACATACAGACAGAAAGAAATAAAAAGAAATAACATAACAACGCTTAATACTATTCTGGTACGTTCCAACACTTATAGCAAATAGATGTGCCCCCTGTCTATTCCAGGGTGCGCTTTCAGCGTGCTTAGTGATAGGTCAGTGTAGGCCAGAGCCCTCCCTGCAACCACCTCCGCATTTACCACAGATCCACATCACTGTTTGATCCCGCACTTCACAAATGGGCTGTAGGAAGCCTCTCTGCTGCATTCCCAGAGGCTTGGAACCATAAAGGAAAATTGTTTGGACACGGATCTTATGTGCCACAAACTTGACCTGCATTGGGACCTTGCTGTTTGTGAAGATAGATGAGAATGACAAGAGTGGCCTTTATATAAAATGTAAGGATTATTATTGTGTGGGTCCGATTTGCAGTATTACTTAATGGAATTCTCGATGACGTGCTCTGGAAACAGATCACATTGAGCGGAATTTTCGTATGTCCGGTTACTTGACAGTCAGCGTTCACATGACCTTGATTTTGTTAAGAAAACAGACCCAAATATATTTAGATAATTTTTTTTCAATATTCCAAGGAGGAAGAAATAAGCACATATACACAGAAATTCCTTAACAATTAGTTCAGTAATCAATTAACTCATACTTTAATGCAAGCTTTTACTTCTTTCTGTGCATCAATTAAAATTCCATTAATATATGGGCTCATTCTGTTAATGTAATCACTTTTCTGATGATTAAACTGGTTCATAGGTGACAGGGCAGAACACAAACCACAATACTGTAAACCAAACAGTATTAATTACAACCAGAGAATTACAGCATTGTAATGTCTTGTACTTCAAAGCCACTTCTCAAAATAACTTCCAAATTAAGCATTCATTGTGGGAATAATGTAATATGAATGTTGCTATCACTGTCACTTTGATTCATTATGATTTATTATTTATGGAGCACATTATGTTTAATTGCTGAGAATTCCATTACAAAGATTGATAAGGGTACAATACAGTGAATAATACATACAGTTCTGGTCACTGCAACATAAGGGAGCAGTGTAGGATCTAGGAGCAGTGCAGAGGGGAATGATGAGGATGATCCTAAATGTTGGTGGAATGTACTATGAGCAATGAAACACAAGATAGGGCTAAAGAAAAGCGACATTAGCATAAAGTATCAATGTATTTAAGAGGAATTAAGATGCATACATGATGGTGAAGGAAATAGAGGCATGTGGGAGGGGATTAGGAGAAGTGGATTAGGACAGACTCATGTGGAGTACAATGTGTGTCAGCCTGGCTCAGTTAGGAGCACTCTCGCCTCTGAGTCAGAACAATAACAACAAAATTACATTTATAGAGTGTCTTTCACGTTGGGAGGATGTCCCAAAGAGCTGAACAGTCAGGTTTCGGGGCCTGAGCATGGGGGAGGGGTGGTGTAGGGGTGAGGGAAGGCAGAAAGGTGGGAGGAAGACCAAAGGCATGGTTGAAGAGAAAGGTCTTGAGACCGGCCTTGAAGGAGGCAAGGGAGGAAGCGAGGCAAAGGGACCGTGGGATGGAGTTCCAGAGTGTGGGGGCAGAGAGGCTGAAAGCCCGGCCACCGATGGTGGGGCGGATCAGGCGGGAGACATGGAGCAGGCCGGAGTCCGCTGAAGAGCGGGAGCGGGCAGGTTGGTAGGGAGTCAGCAGGTCAGAGAGGTAGGAGGGGGCAAGGCCATGGATAACCTTAAAGGTGAGGACGAGGATCTTGAACTCGATCCCCTGGGGGATGGGGAGCCAGTGGAGTTGGGCGAGAGTGGGAATGATGGGGTCACGGAGCCTGGTGCGTGAGAGTACACGAGCTGCAGAGTTTTGGATGATCTGCAGCTTGTGAAGGGAAGAATTGGGAAGGCCGATGAGGAGGGAGTTCCCGTAATCAAGCCTTGAGGTGACGAATGCGTGGGTGAGGGCTGAGGCAGTGGTGGAGTCTGGCAATGTTGCGGAGGTGTTGGTAGGCAGTGCCAGTCATGGTGCGGATGTAGGGGAGAAAGGACAGTTCAAGGTCAAGCAAGACACCCAAATTTCTGACTGACTTAGTGAGGTCGAATGTGCAGCCGTGGAGGCTGATGCTGCCAGCGCCTGAGGTGCAGAGGCGCTGGCGCGAGCCAATCAGGAGAGCCTCGGTCTTGCTGACGTTGAGTTGGAGAAAGTTGGCCCTCGTCCAGGACTTGATGTCGGACAGGCAGTCGGTCAGGACGCCAGTAGTCCTGTAGTTCAGGGTGGAGGCAGAGAGGTAGAGTTGGGTGTCATCCGCATACACGTGGAAATTTACCCCATGCCTGCGGATGACGTCGCCAAGGGGGAGCATGTAGAGGATGAAGAAGAGGGGACCGAGGACAGAGACCTGAGGAACGCCGCACGAGACAGTGCGGGGGCTGGAGGAGAAGCCGTTTGCCGCGACGAAATGGAGGTGGTGTGAAAGGTAGGACCTGAACCAATCAAGGACGGAACCTTGAAGGTTGAGGAGAGGCGGTGGAGGAGGATTGAGTGGTCCATGGTATCAAAGGTGGCGGAAAGGTCGAGGAGGACGAGGAGGCAGAGGGAGCCCTGGTCACACATGGTCAGGATGTCGTTTGTGACCTTGACCAGAGCAGTTTCTGTGCTGTGGGCAGCACGGAAACCGGATTGGAGGGGTTCATGGAGGGAGTGAGAGGAGAGGAAAGAGCGAAGCTGGGAGGCAACAACTCTCTCAAGGACCTTGGATAGGAAGAGGAGATTTGAGATGGGCGGTAGCTGGATAGCTGAGACAGGTCGGATAGCTGGATGGTTCCTTCAAGGTGGGGGTGATAGTGGCTGTTTTGAGGGGGGAATGAACAGTGCCAGATGACATGGAGAGGTTAATGATGTCGGCAAGTAGTGAGACAAGGAGGTGGAGCTGGGGTTTAAGGAGAGGGGTAGGGATGGGGTTGAGGGAGCAGGTGGTGGACTTCATGGAGGTTACAGTATTGAAGACAGAGGAGGGGGTGACAGGTTCAAAGGAGTGGAAGGAGGGATGGGTAATTGTCAGGTGCGTAATTGTGTATGGAGGGGTTGGAAGTTGGGAGGGCAGTGGCAGTTGAGCGGATTCCCTCGATTTTGGACTCGAAGAAGTCCAGCATTTTCTCGCAGTGAGAGTCAAGGAAAGTATCTGTGAGGTGTGTCGGGGAGGGCAGAGGAGCCAGTTAGTGGTGGAGAACAGGAGCCTGGGATTGCCTTTCATCTCCAGGATTAACCAGAAGGTTGTGGAACTCACATAGCTTAAACTGACACTCCAATGCAGCGCGATGGGGGTAGGGTGTTGCATTGTTGGAGGTGCGACCTTCGGATGAAACGTTAACCAATCTGCCTATTCAAATGGACGTCAAAGACCTCATGGCACTATTTGAAAAGAGAAGGGAGTTTCTGCCTGTGTCCTGATCAACAATCCCCCAAATAACGTTGGCCACTCATTGCATAGCTGTTTATGGTAATTGCTGTGCGAAAATTCACATTTGCCCACAAAATACACAGTCACTTCACTTCACAGTATATCGTGTGAATTGCTTTGGGATGTCCTCCTGACATGAAAGGTGCTATATCAAATGATATTATTATTATTGTAACCATCTTAGGTTAGTTGAGTTGAATGGCATGTTTCAGTACTGTACTATTTATGTAATTAATTGCAAGTTAAAAGACCAAAGGTGAAGTCCTGTAGATTAGTAGTTAGAGTACTCGCTTTGCAAGTGAGAGGACCTGGGTTCGATTCTCAGGCAGGGCGAAATGTTGGGCACATTTCCTTGCTCCACACGCGTCTGCTTACCTAGCAGTAAGCAGGAACCCAGTTGTTGGTCCTTCTAATCTCGTAGGGATATATGTGTCATCTCTTTATATATTTAGCAGTTCTATGTAGGTCAACCAAGCACACAGGCAAATCTGGCAAACATTTGAAGAGGATGAAGAGATTATTTGTGTATAAAATGGGAAGATCCTTTTTCTCGATCACAGCAAACCTGTCTGGCTCTATTCAGTAAATAATAAAAACCCGGTAAAAACTGTATCATCATTGGTGTCTGCAAACAGCCCATTAAAGAACTCCCCATCAATCGCTTGAAGCCACACTTTATCTCCATCTTGTAACTGAAGCAGTGCTCCTCCCGAGGCCTGATCCTCACTATTCTGATAGCTGTCAAATGTATGAAGCATCCTCATACCATTTTTATACAGGCAGACTCTCACATGTTTGACGTAGACCGTGATATGATAGACAAAGTAATAGACCCCAGAATATTCACAGGTAAACTTTCCCGTAGAGGTGTTATAGTGATTCTGGTTGTTGTAAAAAATCTTGGTAAACTTGATCGGGGTCCCTGAGCGAGGCAGCTTGAAATTTTCTGTTAAACCAACACTGAAGGCACTGTGCCTCAGCACATGAGTGTCACCAGTATTCCCCTTTTCCCCAATTTCTCCTTTGTCTCCTTTTTGGCCCTGAATGCCAGGACTACCAATTGGTCCTTGATCACCTGTGTCTCCCTTGGGGCCTAGATTGCCAATGGGTCCCACAGAACCTGGTAAACCAATGCTACCTTGAGGTCCAAAGGTACCCTTTTCCCCTTTTATGCCTTGAGGTCCTATATCTCCCTTTAAACCCTGCTGTCCTTGTAGTCCTATTTCTCCTTTTTGGCCCTTGTGTCCAACAAACCATGAATTCCTTTTGGACCAAGTTTGCCAGGTATTCCTTTGCCTCCATGTTCCCCTCTTCGTCCTTTCTGCCCGAGTGCTCCAGGAGGTCCTAGGTTTATATAAAAAAAAGTAAAATCATATACATTGGAAGACTTTTAAGTACATGATAATAAAAAGTCAAACATATTTAACTTTTACCTATTCAAACTTTAATAAACTTTCACCAACAAAATCCTGTAAAGAATTACCAGTCATTACTCAAAATCCAGCAAAATATAGCAAAATCCTATAAAGTGCTTTGAGACGTCCTCCTGATGTGAAAACCACTGTATCACATGCAAGGATGATTTTTAAAAATTTCTTATATTTATATAATTCTTCATGATAGAGATTAACCGCTACTGAATTTGGTACAGGCCCTATAAAACTTATTTTTTTTAAAAATGCTATCTTTGATTTAAAAGTATTGAAATCTGGTGAGATTTTGACATCTTCTTGTAAGACTATAACACACCCAACACAGTAAGATCACCATATTTATTGCACTGCATAGAAATCCCATCAATAGAGTGAAAAGAGACAGTGAGAGAGAGAGAGAGTTTCATATGGTTTGGTAGTAGAGCCAGAATGCTGTGGTGTAGCCCTCTCAAGTAGTCATAGTATTTGAGGCCCACATTTTTGCATTATTTTATAGCTTTTATGTTCTGTACTTGTTATTTTGTAATAAAAATAATGATAGTAATAATCCTTGCATTTGATATAACACCTTTCATATCAGGAGAATGTCTCAAAATGCTTTACAGGATTTACTGTAAAGTGTAGTGACTGTGTATTTTGTAGGTAAACACAGCAGCCAAATTGCACACAGCAATGTCCCACAACTCTCCATTATGACCAATTTTATTGTTGGGAGATGTTGGCCAAGACACTGGGAGAATCTCCCTTCTCTTTTTGAATAATGTCGCAGAATATTCACTGTCCACCTGAACAGGCAGATGGGGCCCCATTTTAATATCTCATCTGAAGCACAACACCTCTGACAATGCAGCACTGCCCCAGTACTACAATAGATGGTCAGCCTAGAATATGAGCTCAAAGTCCCATTATGAGACGTGAGTTTGAGCCTACAATCTTTTGACTCAGAGGTGAGAGTGCAATCAGCTGAGACAAGCTGACATATATACAAGATGAGGATGAGATCAAATGGACCGAAAGGTCTTCTTCACCCAAACCAATCTTATGCAGTCCATCAGAATAGGAAGACGTCTCATCTAAAGGACAGCATGTGCATAATGCAGCACTAGCTCAGTTCAGCACTGAGGGACACTACAAGGAATGGGAAGAGGGTATTAAGACCATCAAGTGTCTTCCACAGTTTTATTCGCTCATGGGAGTCCTTTTGATCCCATTTCCTTGCATTTCTCTATATACCTTAGTTCAGTGATGGACAACCTTTTTGGTTGGCCAACAAAATAAAACATTTTCTCAATTGAATATTTCTTGATTTATGCCATAATGTTAGTCACTTACCTGTTTCTCCAGGTTGTCCTTTTGCTCCATTAGGCCCAGATTGTCCACATTTCCCAAATTCACCTGTTAATGAAGTGCTACACACTTGATTATTTCAAAACTAAAGCTAGACAAAAACACACCACTTTTCGGCATTCTACTTATTCTGATCAATACAGTTCTAAAATGTGTTGAAAATTAGTTTGCAGCTTTTATATTAATACATTCACCCCCATGTTAAAATAGCTTCTTGAATTACACTGGATTCAAGAGATTCTACATTACATTGCATAACTGAACAGGAAGCACAGGGTTAATAGCACAAGTGCACTGTTTCACTATCGACTTCAGTACTTCATTAGCCAGTAAGTTCACTGGTTACATTTTAAGTTTTTTCTAACATAGTGCAGCAATGATCTATCTATTCATTTCACAATACAGTGCAGTAAAACTCACATAAATCTGATCTGAATAAATCACCTAAGACCCTAAGACATACACCTCCCCAAGTCTCATTGAAGAGTTTATAATCTATGCAAGTTTGGCATAACTCATACTTTGTATTAAATGTATGGTCCCAACTGATATGACTTATGTGAGATTTACTGGATATCATCTATTGTTAATAAAATTTAATTATTAAAAAAACCTTCATATATGAAAACCCCAGGAAATAAATAAGGATATTATTAAGAATATTTATAATAATAATAATCCTTGCAATTGATATTGCGCCTTATCATGTCTTCGAGATGTCTCAAAGCGCTTCACAGAATATACTGTAAAGGGAATTGACTGTACATTGTGGGCAAAACACAGGAGCCAATTTGAGCTCATCAGTGTCCCACAAACAAAATTATTATTTTTTAGGGATTATTATCCCTGGAAAAGCGTTCCGCCAATTGACTAACAACCGATGTTATGTTAGCTATAGGGGAATAATTACTGTCTAAAGTTAAATATTTTTTTTCCTTTGAGAGGTATGAGGTAAAATTCCACCTGGGTTCAGACTTACTCAAGTAACATAACATTTTAGAACATTCAGAATTTGGCAAAGTGTTTAGTTTTTACCTGAAGCCTGTTTTTCTGCAGTTCTTAAAAGAACAAAGATTCATAATCCAAGGCTGTGTTTAGGAATTTTCCAAATTCTGTACAGTCTGCAATGTTACGTTAATAGAGTAAATCTTGACCCAGGTGGAATTTCTACTCGTGATGCTTTTAATACAAGTGACCTCAAGACAAAGTTGCGCAGTCACTAAGAATCCAAAGTTCAGAAATGCTTAATTTTACAGTTACAAAAAATCTGCCCTGGTGTGGATTGATTTACAACCTTAGTTATTACTGGTGAGCATTATTCTGGTGAATGTTGTGCTTGTTGAGAGCATGGTGGGAATATGGTACACTTGCAGGTAAATAAAGCACTCCCATGACAGACATTGAACAAAGTTTTCCCGTTATGAAGATGCAGTGAACGATAACTACTTTTAGATCCCTAAATCTGTAATTCGTAGATTCAGAACAGTCTCTATCAGATTAGTGCATGTAACACTGTCCATGCTACAGACTCCCTAAATCAGACTGCCATTTTGTTTCAAATTAAGGGCAATTTTGTGCTCTGAGTAAACCCTGAATAGAATTCAATTGTGATTGATCAAATTCATTTCACTTGGGAGTCCACCACAGAGCAGCTGTGCATGATTTTGCATTGATACAACTTTTTAAAATGCCTTTAAGTAATCAGTCATCTAAAAATGGTAATGTTAGGTATTCACAATTGTACAAAACAAGAAGAATGCATTCATCAGAATACGCACCTGTGTCTCCCTTGTCACCCTTTGAGCCATCCCGCCCATCCCTTCCAGGCGTTCCATTATGACCAGGTATTCCAGGATGTCCGCACAAACATGTCTCTTCTCTCAGCTGCTCTGCATTGCCCAGGGTGATCAGAACTACCAACAACCAACTTTGCATTGTGGATCCAGATTACCAGTCCGTACTCTCAAAAATATCCACCACGACAATCTAACAGCAATAACACAGCAAATTCAGTCATAGTTTCATCCCTTAAGCAGATTTGTTTTAAAATAATTTGAAAAAAGATTTATTGCGGCAGATCAGCATACAAGGAGCAAAAGGCTTGAATTTTATAATATCTGAAATGTCTCAAAGCACTTCTCACTGATTGTGGTCAAGGGTAGATTGTTTTTCGTACACAAACCCAGCAGCCAATTTGCACACAGCCGGCTCCAACAAACAGCCATTAAGTGAATGATCAATTTATTTGAAGGTTTGTTGGTCAGGATACCAGGAGAAACTCCTTCCTATTTTCAAACAGGTCCATGGGATCTTTTAACATCCAACCGAACAGTCAAACAGGATCTCAGTTTAACATTTTTTTCTGAAGGAAGTCACTCCAAAATCATGCAGCCAATGCTCTTCCAATACTGCACTGGAGTGTTAATTTTCTAAATCAACATTAGACTGTCCCAGCACTTATAATTTTGTTCTCTCAAATACCAACAATACTCTTTTAAGACCACATTTCAATTGATATTCATATCAAGCTTGTGCACAATCTGAATATTAAATTGTTTGCCTGCAAACACTAAAGTTAAGGAGGAAATCAGGATTCTGAATCATAAAGTGCACTGTGCGCAATGAACATGTAAAGCATTGCCTACTCACCACAGCAAGTGCCACTTCTAACTGGTCAGTTGTTCCTGGAGAGAAGTTTGCTAGATATGCATTATGTGTGTATTCTTTTAAACTGTATAATCATTAAGCCAGATGAGCTATTAATAAATAAGTGCTTCCAAAGACAAACTAGAAACATTGGTGTCTGTACGAATCTTTACCATCTGAAGAAAGATTTTGAATATACTTTCCTAATAAATGATTAATAAGTCCAATGGTGAATTCTCAGTGAAGCAGGTATCCTAACTGTTCACTGAACCGTAACTCTGTGCTTCAGTGACTTCAATTCGTCATTGTTCCAAATTCTTATGTCCATTTTATTCATATATGATAATAATGTATCAGACACCAGGCCTCAGGACAGGAAGGTTTGAGGGGTAGAAACTGATGTCCCTCTTAAGTAGATGCTGACCCTGCCATCTCTCTCATTGTGCTGGGCTGGGAAGGGTGGCAACTCTGACTTGGTCCCAGGCGAGTAAGTATGAGGCCCAGGTAGCATAGCTGGCCTCAGGTTAATCAATAGTTAGAATGGGGAGTCGGAGGGAGATTGGGAGTGCACAGGTCAGTAAGAGGAATGCCAGGTACTGCCCCCAAGCCCAGTTGCCTGCACCCCTCCACAGTTGTTCCGGTCTGCTCCACATCCCCCGCCCTAACCGCCCTACCATCGGTGGCCGGGCCTTCAGCCTCTCAGTCCCTAGGTTCTGGAACTCCATCCCCCAGTGCCTTCGCCTTGCTTCCTCCCTTTCCTCCTTCAAGGCCGGTCTCAAGACCTTTCTCTTTGACTGTGCCTTTAGCTCCCCTCTCGACTCTCTACCCCCTCCTCGCTCCCTCCCTCCCTTCCCTCACCCTGACCATTTCCCCCCCTGCTCGGGTCCTGACCCAATTGTACAGCGCCTTGGACTGTCCTCCCGACGTGAAAGGTGCTCTATAAATGGAATCTTGTTGTTGTTGTGTTCCTATTCTGGTTTCCTTGCCTGAGAATAAACCTCTTCTGTAGTGAGAGTCCCTGTATCTGCCCAGCTCAGACCTAGGTTAAGGAGGAGATAATCAGTCACATGCAAGGATTATTGTTGTTGAAGGAGATAATCACTCCTAAAGTGGGGTCTCCTTAGAGCTAAACTGGGTCCAAAGTGATATGTTTGGCAATGGAATGTCAGAATCGAACCAGCTCTCTATTGCAGTCTCTGTAGTCTGGTTCTTGAGCCAGGCAGGTTTGCAGTATTCCAGGGCACTGCTGATGACAGCAGAGTCAGCCTGGCTCAATTGGCAGGACTTGGAAGGGCAGACCAGTCACTGGGAGTAGGGAATCATCTCACTCAGCTCCTTGTAACCCTGCAAGTCAAAGCCCTAAAGGGTAGTGTGGTCCCATCTGGACAAGCAGCGTGAAAGCTTGCTAGACAGTGATATCAATGATGAGCTGTGCAGTTTTAGCTGGTTAGATTCCAGCAGTACCCTAACACACACTTTGGGGTCCCCAAGCCTTGGTTCCTGCCAAGCAGGGTCCCCCTCCCCCCGGGTACACAGTGTAAATTATTCCGTTCCAGACACAGGTTCCATTCCAGATATTATTCCATTCTAGACACAATCCACAGTCCAGCCTGTAAATAGCAGACTTTGGTCGCTTTGGATACTGTTAAGCATGATAATAATAATAATAATAATAATCCTTGCATTTGATATAGCGCTTTTCACGTCGGGAGGACATCCCAAAGCGCTTCACAGAACACACTGTAAGGTGAATTAACTGTGTATTTGTGGGGAACGCGGCAGCCAATTGCGCACAGCAATGTCCCACAAACAGTCGTAGATTGAAAATGACCAATTTATTATTGTTTTGTTTTGGAGGGATTATTATTAGGTGTGTGGATTAAGGAAACTTGCCCAAGGTTTCGCCCTGCCTGGAATTGAACTCAGGTCTCTCACTTGCAAAGCGAGTGCTCTAACCACTGAGCTACAGGACTCCACTGATGGGTTTTCACATGTGCAATTGACCAAAAAAGATTCAAGCCTCCAGTGGAAAAGCAGGCAGACAAATATGAATGTTTGAAGTATGTTCTACGTTGGGAAACTGCAAGAAAATATCAAGCAAGGATAGTTAGGCCGTAACTGGAATGAGGAAATCATATTTATTTCACCAAAATAAATGAATTTTTTAAATTGAATGTTTTATTACATTAACTGAAGGTAATCATTCTTTGGAACATAACAAAAATGAGACTACACTACAAAAAAATACACAAGTTACGTTAGGTATGTACATCATGCTTGTGATATCAGTACTGTGCAGCAGTGCATCACATTGTTCTGAGGCGTTCGACTTACCATCAAACTGTAACATCACAGACCAGACATTATTATTTATATCCGTGTGCTTAAAAAAAATCACAAAACAAAATGGTCTGGACAAAAATATGAAAATGAGATAGGCTCTCACTATACACAGAACAATTCATATATTACAGGCAATTTGGAAAGGAACCAGTAACAAGCCCGTCAAAAGCAAAGTAACATAACGTGCAGTGGCAGGTAGTTACTAAGGCTAATGTCCTTTGGTTCACCAACCATGCACGACAGTTAGCCAGCACCTGCCTTTGTTTGTAACTGAAAGTTTCCTAAAAAGTCTTGGTAAAAAAAAATGTACATTTCACAAATTGTCGCACGTTTTAGGACAAAATTCACAGCGAATTGGCAAGGTTGATAGAAAAAAACAGAGCGAACATCTCTATAATTGTCACGGTTCATTTATAAAGGCAAGAGTTTACAAAACGAATGCCAAGGTCACACACAATTCTGTTACATTAGCTGCATCACAAAGACTCCATGCTTAGCTAGGGTTGTACGCCATTCCTGGAAACGTGAAGGGAGGTTCATAGTAGGTGACTGACTATTCACAAGACACATTCTGGAGTTTCATTGCAGCGCATATAGTCCATGCCATAAGTTTCAGGAACATAAGAGCACTGGGGGCCACATGGCCCAGTTTTGGTACAGTCTTTACTTGGAATGGTGAGAATTAAAGTTCCTCTCCGTTGTAGGGAGAATGGTCCTATTGTGCTAATGGGGAGAAAGTACACTGGGAACTTTCAAATATTAAGGCTGAAACACATCCCTGTGTCCTCCTAAGACAAAGAGAGAGCATTTCTGTGTTACATACATACTTGGCTGCAGCAATCTGTGTTTAACCCACAGATCAGACACTAATGTACAAAACCATTCCGTTTACATTTCTACAGTGATAGTTGATCATCTCATATAAGTAATGCACATTTGCACATTTCATACTTTAAAATGCTTGCTTAAAAACTGTCATTTACCTGCCAGTGTTACCTCATATTGGGGTAGTGTGCTTCCTTGGAATAGATTTGCCTAAGAATCAGAGGCTTCTGCTGTTTCAAAAGGCAAATAAGGTTGTGAGTGGTTTACTAAAGTGGCCTATAAAGCCAATTACTGATAGGAATGACCAGTAGGCTAAACAGGACAAAATACTGGCAAATTTGTTCTAATAACTTTACTTCTATTGGAAATAACGTGCTCGTCATGTGTAAACTAACCTACTAAAGTATCTTATGAATTCGTCCTGGGCACATTGTAAAAATGTAGTTGTGTTGCTTCATTGCTGCTCGCCTCCTTTATAGCTCCCATTCAACCTTCAACCCTTGGCTCATTGTCGTTGAGAGAAAGGCCTCAATTGAACTGCGTGGGGAGCTAAATATGAGGAAACATTGACAAATGATGTGACACTTCATCTCTCAGCTCCTCTCCAACCCGGATGCTGTCCCAGGGCCCGTGATCTCCACAGTGATGTGTTGGCCTTTATCTTTGTTGCCGCTTCTCTAAGGCAACCACTGTCTCTTCATTTCTTAAAGGGGGTCAACTTGGTGAAGCTGTGCCAGAAGGGGGCTGGCTTACGTTTGGGTTCAGCCAGTGAGAATACCTGCTGCTGTGGAATGCTGGTGGGTACCGTGATGTGTCGTTGGTGCAGAGGGTGAAGGGCTTGATGTGGAGGAGGGATTGAACACCCACTGTAGCTCACACCTGAAACATTCAAACACACTTGTCCAGTCAGACATTAATCATTTCCAGACAGTCAGGAATCACCCTTTGTTGCACTAGACAAGTCCTGTAATTTCTGTAACTGTACATTATTGGATGTCAGCCTGGCTCAGTTGGCAGCACTCTCGCCTAACTTGGCAGACTGTTGGTTGAAGACCCAGGTCAGGACTTTGAACCTGCAATCTAGGCTGACACTCCAACCCAGAACTGGGGGTGTAGTGCAACAACAACAATTTGGATTTATATAGCGCCCTCCACTTTGGACGGCGTTTCAGAGCGCTTCACAGTAACGAATCCTGGGGCCGAGCCAGGGGGAGGGGGAGGAAGGCGACCAAATGTGCAGTCGAAAAGAAAGGTCTTCAACCGAGACCTGAAAATAGGAAGAGAGGAGGTGAAGGGAGTGAGGAGGGGACTTCCAGAGCCTCGGGGCGTAGTGGCTGAAGACATGGCTGCCGATGGTGGAGTGGAGGATTCGGGGGACAAGGAGGAGGCCAGACCCAGTGGAGCGAAGGCAACAGGCACTGTTGTGAGGAGAGAGGAGATCAGAGAGGTAGGGGGGTCAGAGGAGTGGAAGGATTTGAAGACAAGGGTGAGGATCAACGTATGAGATGCAAAGTATGAGGTACTGTCTCTCGGATGTGACCTTAAACCAGGCAATGTCTGCCTGTCCAAGTGGATTTTAAAGATCCCGTGGCACTATTCTAAAATAGTAAAATCCTATGAAATGCTTTGAGACAGCTTGACAATGTGATAAGGTGCAATATCAAAGGTCAGGATAATTATTGTTCCTCAATCTACTTTGATCTTTAAATTTTAACCAATCAAAGTCAATGGATAATACTTACGGACAGTATTAAGAGGCAGCTCTGTGGTTTACACTCTTACAAACCATCAATATCATTCTATGTAAAGCCAGAGAAAACAATAATGCCTCATCTCAAAGTGTAGCAAGACTCACAACTGACAAGAAACACCAGCCAAGTCAGGGGTCATGAATGGAATTTTAAAGTGTGTAAAGCAAACATGTTAAGAATCAGGGAAATTCCTCCATAGCATTTTAGAATGTCCAGAATTTGGCAAATTGTTGAATTCTGTCTTAAATTTGAAGGCATAGCTGCTGTGGTTCTTAAAAAAAATTGAGCAAATTGGTTCAAGTTCAAAATTAAAGACGAGATTTGAGAATTGGCCACATTCTGGATGCTCTGAAATGCTACATAAATACAGTAAATCCTGAACAAGATGGAATTTATACCCCTCATTTTTTTCTCCCCTCAACCTGCTGAAAAAGGGGCCAAATCCACTGTGTCTCAATACTGTTCTCACACCCATTCACAGAAGATCACCTAAAATTTGATGCAGAATTATGTTCTATTTCATCACTGGGAATTAGACTCAAGACTACACCATAATTTCTACTGGAGGCCTAAAAGTTATTAAGAGACTAAACTCTGGACTGAATTCAGATGTAGTTCTCAATGCCAATCCGTTTCCCCCCCAGTCATCCTGATCAACTTGAACATGTGCAATTTGTGTTTCTCATGGGGCAAGGTGGCTAGATTTATGTTATGCAGAAAACCAAACAATTTTGAATGAGTAGAAAACCAAATCAAATAAAAGTAGAGGTTCTTGTAGGAAGAAAGGCAGTAAAGCAGAGATTCTATTACAGGATGACCCTGTTATAACATGGTTATCTGGGCCCAATCTTTGTGTAACTGTTTTTAAGCAGAATAAAAGAGCGATTTAGGTCACTAATGATATTGTTTAATATGTGCAATACACAGGAAGTGTCACTATCAGTGTTGCCTAGCATTTGCAGAGTGCAGGAAATGATCTCAGCACCACTGCACATAGCATGCAAGCAGTGACTACAGTAGCAATCTGACCACCCAGAAGCCAGCCATTGTTTGGTGTGGGAAGCATCAGACGCCAGGTGCTCCATGCTTCCGATTAGCAGAGGTCCACAGGATACCAGTGAGTGCTATGAGCAAAGCCATAGGGTGTTAAACCACATTAGCTTGTCAGTTGTGTTTACTGTTCAAGTCATTATGACTTTCAAAGCGTACAGGATTTCAATTTGATATAGCACCTATTCACGTCTTTGAGACGTCTCAAATACCTCCAACCCTGCTTCTCTGCATCTCACACCTTACTCACCCTTCATCTTTCCATGCCTGGACTTTTTGGCATTTAACATAGCTTGTTTCTTTTGGTTTTCTGAGATTTCAAATCCTGAAAACAGATTGAAACAGAGGATTATAAATATTTCATCAATTATAGACTTTTGCTCCTTAATCTATTTCAATCAAACATGCACATCAGCCTAGATGAGGCGAAGTTGAATCTGGTATCTGAGTATCCAAACCAAACTACTGTGGATTCCACATGTGTATGGTTTCCATTTGTGTGTTATGAAATGTACATTCACACTCCAAAAAGGTGTACCCTGCTTACCCAACCTAGGGAATTTAGTTGCAGGTTGGGAAGAGCAAAGACTTGGAGCCACCTCCCCACACATACACACCAAGTTTGCGTTGAAGATTAACCAGCTAAAATGCACAGGCTAAGATTACAGAGCACTGGTAGCTTTTCTGCTGCTTACCTCTGCCCAGATAAGACCATCTAACCTTTTAGGGCATTGTTTTGCAGGGTTATCAACAACAACAACAAATTACATATGTATAGCACCTTTCACGTTGGGAGGACGTCCCAAGGCACTGGACAGCCAAGGATTTGAACTCAAGCTGGGGGCTGGGATCAGGAGGGGTGGAGCGCAGAAGGGTGGCTGGTAGGCCCGGTCGAAGAGGTGGATTTTGAGATGCGCCTTGAAGGAGAGAGGGCAGGAGCAAGGCAACAACAACTAAATTACATTTGTAAAACACATTTCACGTTGGGAGGTGCTGTGGGATGGTGTTCCAAAGGATGGAGGCAGAGAGGATGAAGGCTCGACCTCCGATCGTGGGGTGGGCCGGGCTGGAGCCTGCTGAGTGGAGGGAGCGGACATGTTGATATGGCAAGTTCCAAGTGGGAAGAATCCCAGGCTCCATAACCAGTCTGCTTTTCCAATGCTTGTCTTACCAAGACTTGCAAACAAATCGGGCTGACTGGTCGAACATCAATAGTGCCATAGGAATAGGCCATTCAGCCCCCTCAAGCCTGTTCCACCATTCTATTAGATCATGGCTGATCTTTCAACTCCATTTACCTGCTTTTTTAGTCCGCAATCTGGATGAATAGGCAGATGGGACATTGGTTTAACATCTCATTTGAAGGACTGCACCTCTTGACAATAGGAGCACAGGAAGCTACAACTCTGGAAAGGCGTGCTGCCTTAAATTGCTCCAGTTCTGAGCATACACTGTATATCAGACGTCTGAAATTCTATCTGGTTTCAGTCTATAATTTGGTTGAAAATTTAAGACCACGCAGAATTGTGGAGAGTTCTTAAATTCAAAGTTGATTTGAAAAGCATTTTTTCCGCACTATTGATAGGAACCGGCTTTTAAATTAACGCTGAATTTTAGAATTTTCCACAATTCCTGCATAATTTTAAATTTGAAGCCAAATGTTTTACCAGCGAGAACCAAGAGGAATTTCAGGCCTGTGATGTATTAATTAGCACTGGCGATAATGCCAGTGATAAAGCCCTATCAACAAAGTGGAAAATTCCACCCTATTGATTCATGACAGTATTTAACCCTGAAGCTGACTTGTGAATCACAGTATTGAGCTGTTGGTTGATGGGATATTGGCTTAACATGAAAAAAAACAAGAGTAAAGCCAATAACCACATTGGGTTCAACCAATGTGACTGACTCGGGGTGGGGGGGAGGACAGGCTTTCACTATGGACAGGGTGTGAGTTTCTTCCCATAAGTCAATCCCATTGTGTAATTGCATCTGTGTCAGTTGGTGCAGTGGTAGCACTCTAAGGTTGTGTGTTCAAATCCCACATTGAGACTTGTACACAAGTGGTCTAAGCTGACACTCCATTGTAGTGCTGGGGGTCTGCTGCATTGTCAGAGGTGCTTCGGATGAGAAGTTAAACCAAGGGCCCATCTACCTGTTCAAGGAGATATTAAAGATCTCATGGCACTATTTAAAAGAAAAGGGAGTTCCTCCCAGTGTCCAGGCCAACACTCCACAAATACAATTGGCCATTCATTTCATGGCTGTTAATGGGACATTGCTGTGTGCAATTTGATTGCTGTGTTCACCTACAAATACACAGTCACTTCATTTCACAGAAAATGCTATGAAGCGCTTTGAGACATCCTTACGACATGATAAGGCACTACACCAAATGCATGCATAATTATTATTATTTTGCACATCAGCACATTTTTGTCGTGCCAGGCTGTGGACTTAAAATGTTTAACCAACATTAACTAACCTTCAAACTTTTCAGTTTTGTTGCAAGGCCTTTTCCTTCAATAAGAGTTCAAACCGCATGACCGCTCGAACACAGATTAATTATTATTATCATCAGTAATATTAACCAGACAATCTTCATGTAGCCTTCAGCACTTTGCGTACAAAATACAGTCACTACACTTCACAGTAAAAATCATCATGAGATGTTTTGACAACGTTATAAGGCTCGATATCGGATGCAAAGAATATCCTTCTACATCTAACCAGTACTCTGAAATCAGCCGACAAACTCACCCATTTCTTTGTCTTCTTCTACTCTTTTTCTTTCATCTAGACATGCTTGTAGCCACCGCTGCTTGTCTTCTGGCTTCTTGGCACAAAGCAGGTAGATTTCCTCTGTTTCTGTGCTTTTCAGTTTGAAGGCATTTTTTACATTAATATTAAAATCCTTGTCTCTTCCGTCTACCATGTCCAACACCTCCATTTCATCCATGTCCACAGTGCCTTTGTAGTACAACATGTCTCGCCTCAACAGATCCTTTTTGCAAAACACTAGCTGATGGTCAAAGAGAAAAAAGGTCCTCTGCTGGCTCTTGCCTTGACGTGAAAATTTGGTTAACTCTCCAGAATGGATCAGCTCCGAGCTTCTAGCCAGAACATCTTTCCCCTGAAAAATATTCAGATGTACAGTTAAACCCAACCCACTCAGCGAGCACTAGCCTGCATCAGGTCTCTTCCTTTACCTGCCCCACCATCGGCGGGCGGGCTTCCAGCCATTTTACTCCCAATCTCTCCATCCCAGAGTCACCCTGACTCGCTCCCTCCTTCACCTCATTCAAGGACAGTCTCAGGACCTACCTTTTTGAGTGTGTTTTCAGTCATCTTTCTCCTCCCCGCACCTCCCACCCTCAGCTCGGGTGCCAAGACAGTATTGTTTTGCACCTTAGGACATCCTCCTGATTGATAGGCGCTACATAAATGTAAATATGTTTGTATTGCAAATCACACGGCCCCTCCAGCAACACAGCAAATTATTCAGGAAGGAAATGCACAGTGAGATCCTCCCGACGGTCAGATCTGGAGGGCATTCAGTAAGTGCCCGTCTTGTATTACATACAGCTACATCATTAATAAATGTGTTTATTAATAAATATCTTTATGGCCCTGTAACATTAGTCGGTCACTTTCTCTTTAGTCGAATAGTCACCTTTACGGGGAATTGTCAGTGTCTTGGGATGTCCTCCCGACATGAAAGGCACTATATAAATGCAATTTATTGTTGTTTTTGTAGAATTGATTCAGTCAAGGATTTGGATCCAGCTGGGGGTCGGGATCAGAGAAGATGGAGGGCGAGTAAGGTTAGGAAGGTGGCCAAAGGCGCGGTCGAAGAGGAGGATTTTGAGACACACCTTGAAGGAGGCAAGGGAGGGAGTGAGGCAAGGGAATGAAATACAGCACAGAGAGCATCAACTACTGAGAACAAGGGGCACACATTAGTTGGGCCAAATCCTATTTCTGTGTCATATTACCTGATGTAAGATAACCCTATCTTACTGGGTTCTGACAATGAGGTCCCCAGTCATTACTGTACATAAACTGAGAACCCTCTAGTGGCGCAAAGCAGATACTTCAATATAAAATCAGGTTTAAACCTTAAACCTATAGGATTTTACTTGCTGTTTCCTTTTTGGGATTTGGATTCTGGCTAAAGAGGATCATTTCCATCCAAGTCCTTCAATACTGCAGTTTACTACAATTCTGCAGTTCCAAACTGTACATAAATGTGTCAGCCTGGCTCAGGTGATACACTCTCGCCTCTGTTTCAGAAGATTATGAGTTCAAGCCCCACGTCAGGATATTGAACTCACAGTCTAAGCTGACACGCCAGTACCATTCTGGAGGAGCGCTGCATTGTCGGAGGTGCCATCCTTCAGATGCGACTGAGGTGACATCTGCCCATTTAGGTGGACATTAAAGATCCCATGTCACTATTGGAAAAAGAGAAGGGAGTTTTTCCCTGTATTCTGGTCAAGAATCCTCCAAATAAAATTAATCATTCACTTCTTGGCTGTTTCACTTCATGGACATTGCTGGGTGAGAATTGGCGGCCGTGTTCGCCTACAAAAGACATAGTCACTACACTTCACAGTAATTCCTGTTATTATTATTACACATTCAAACAACTTTATTTATAGATCGATTTGGTGATGAAAATAGACATTAATCATAGTGAGAGCAATAGTTATGGGTACCACTTTTTTTAGGAGAGCTTTAGGTAGGTCTATGTCACTGAAGACTGAATGAACATGAGAGATCCAAAAGAGATGGCAGAAAGGTAAGCAGACAGTTTCGGGTCAGAAATATACACTCACCTCCCAGTATACGATAGACACTTGCCAATGCGCAATCTTGTCTATACTTTCTAATCGTCTTTTCCTCTCGTTAATCAGACGTGCTACGTTCTTCATGGCCTCATATGCAGCGCTGACATTTTTGTAGTCACTGTGAAAAGGACCAGGTTTCTTTAGACTTTCACATTGTTATATCATAAACAGGCATAAGTTGTATTAGTCGGGACCATAACATTTAATATAATAGAATTATATCATAGAATCATACAGCACAAAAAGAGGCCATTCGGTCCATCGAGTTTGTGCCGGCTCTTTGAATAGAGCAATTAATGTCAATCCCACTCCCCAGCTCTTTCCCCATAACCCTGCAAACCCGTCCTCCTCAAATACCTGTCCACCGCGTTTTTAAAAGTAGTTATCGAATCAGCCTTGACCACCCTTTCAGGCAATGCGCTCCAGATTCGAACAACTCGCTACGTGAAAAAATTTCTTCTCACTTCCCCTCGGCTTCTTTTAGAGACTATTTTGAATCTGTGACCTCGAGTCACCGACACACCCACCAGTGGAAACAGTTTTTCCCTTTCTAACCTATCAAATCCCCTCATGATTTTGAAGACATCTATTAAGTCTCCCCGTAACCTTCTCTGTTCCAATGAGAATAATCCCAGCCTCTCTAGCCTTTCCTCATAATCAAGGTCCCTCATTCCTGGTACCATCCTCGTAAATCTCCTCTGCACCCTTTCCAATGCCTTAACATCCCTCCTATAGTGTGGTGCCCAGAACTGAGGCCTAACCTGTGTTTTATATAGGTTAATCATAACCTCCGGTTTTACGTGAAGTATACTTTACAGGCAAACTTGCATTAATCGTACAATATACGACTTGATTCAATAAACTACCTACGCATCCGTACTTCAATACAGTCAGTAAATGCACATGAGATGACAGGCTAAGACTTTATTCCTTGCAGGTTCAATGCAGTCGGTAAGTGCAGTAGCGACATTACAAATTAGGAGATGATTTGCATAAGATTTAGGATGCATTTAGGATCAAGACTTATGCGAATTTTGCTGTAGTTTAACTCCCGCACCATTGAGCTAACACAGACCTGCTGCACATCCTCCTGCTGCTGTAATTTTAGGATCACTATTGCAAGAACACACCATCAGCAGGGTAAAACTAACCTATCTTACAACTGCCTAAACCCAGCTCACGTTCCCTATTAGATGTTGAACCAACACTTGGCAGATTAGGCTCCCAGTCAGTAGCTGTTGACCCTCTCATCCTTAAGAAATCTGTTTAGACTTTTGAACAAATGGGTACAGAAAATCCATGCAAAGAGAAGGGTCAGATGGAACATGCTATCTATAACCATACACGTTTACGTTCAGTTTGCTACCTTGGTTTGGTCTCGAAAACTCGTACCTGTGGCCTGGAGTGGTGTATTTGAGTAACTCAGCGAGCTGCAATGGATATTTACAGATTTTCTGGACTGGAGTTAGAAGGAAGCCATCAATGGCGATATCAATCATCTGCTGGAGCAGTCGACAGGCCTCAAAAAAATGCCGATATTTGCTTTGTTTCATTAGCTTGGCAAGCTCAACACAAGCACTCGGGTGGTTGTTACAATATTCAGAGTAGATTCCAAATCCTTCTTGCTGTAAGAGAACATTAATCATTTGAGAAAGGCATTCGATTGCTGGACGTTTAGCCTCATCGCAGTCATCAGTAACAATAAAGTCTGTCAGTCGAGGCAAACTAGAAACTGAACAAATGCTAATGCTCAAAACATACCATTCAAATTGGATCCCTGTAACCAGTGATTTCTCTGTTTCGTTATTAGAGTTAATCTAGTCCGGCTCTGAGTCAGAACCACATCAGGTTCTTGAACCCAATTAGCCTAGACTGACATTCCAATGCAGTGCTGGGGTGCCCTGCACTGTTGAAGGTGTTGTACTTCGATTGAGACGTTTACCAAGTTCCCGTTTGCCTCTTCAGGTGCACGTTAAAGATCCCATGGCACTATCCGAAAAGAGAAGCGCGTTTCTCCCAGTGTCCTGGCAAACAATTTCCTAGATATAACTGGTCATTTATTTCACGGTTGTTTGAAGGACATTGCTTTGAGCAAATTGGCTGCTGCATTTTGCCTACAAAATACACATTTTACATTAAAGCTTGTGAAGCGCTTTGAGATGTCCTCTCAACATAAAAGGCTCCATGTCAAAAGCAAGGATTATTATTAATAATAATATTTTACGTATAACCTATTAATAATACTCAATGATCTATTTTAGGCTGCAATGAAAATATCATAACTTGCATTTATAAAGCACACTTTACTTGAGGTAGCATCTCGGAGCGCTTAACAGTGGTGGAGCTTGCAATAAGAGATGTAGAAAGGATAAGGATAGAATCAGGAAGAATTTCAGGCTTCACATCAGGGCTGTTGTGAAATAGGCAGCTGACACTGACAGAGAGGAGAATATAATGCTGATTCTGTTTAACGTGGTTAGGGGTATGGACCCCATTCACTGCACATGCATGCAGGTGGCTCACTCACTTCCCACAAACACAACACACAGGAATTGATATTAGCATAGATAGACCCCAGGGCCCAGAGATTGGCGACTTAGCTTCCTGTGCATTAAAAATGTCTGAACATTGCGTCACTTACTTCTTTGTGTATGCAGGAAGTGACATCACCTTTTAGGGGCTACCATTAAAACAACAAATTAAAAATCAGAGTCTGAGGCTGACGTTTCATGTGTTCTAGAACGCAGAAGTGAAGCATTCATGAAATTGTTCGAAGAATAAGATTATTGGGAAATTAAACATTCAACGTACGTGTTGGAGGAAACAGGATCCAATTTCGCTCAGGTGAGGATCATCTTTGTTGAACTGTTTCTCCAAATCCTTCAAAAATTTCCTTTGGAATTTGTAGATCTCTTCAATGTTTCCAAAGATGGTGTTCAACTGTGCTTCCGTGAACATCCCTGTGTGTTTGCGACACTGTCGAATATACCCCTGTAACAAAGGCATTTTTATATAAGTTGCAACCACAATGTGGAAATGAATGTTTAAACCTCTTTTACCTAATACACCTTTAAAATCTCTGCAGATTTTTTACACCAATTTGACCAAACACCAATGCTCGTTGTAATTAATTATTCAAAATCACTCTCTGCAGCTCTATTAAATATTCGATGGAGAGAAGATGTCCTGAGCTAGATTTAAAGCAGTGCGGGGCACTACTGACTCAATCTAATAAAGGGGAAAATGTCAGCATTGGAGCAACATTGCAATGCAAAAGCTTAATTTTGAAAATCATGAAAAATGTAACTACCTAAAATTCTTGTATATTTTATTCTAAGACACACACATACACACACGCGCACACATACACACACACAAATATAATTACATAGGACCTTTCACGTCAGAAGGACATCACAAGATATTTAACAGTACTGGCTGGGCAGCCGAGCAGGGGGTGGGAGTTGAGTCGAGGGGAAGGGAGGGGAAAGATGACCAAAAGAGCGCAGGTCTTGAGATTGGTTAGGGTTGAATGAGGTAAGTGAGAGAGGGTGTCAAGCAAATTGGAGGGACTCCAGGATGGCGTTCCAGAGAGTAGGAGCAGAAATACTGAAAGCCTGCCCGCCAATGGTGGGCGAAGGACATGAGGCTGGCCAGTGCCTCCTGAGCGAAAGGAGAGGTGGGGCAAGCAGGATTTGAGGAGGTCGCAGATTGATGTGGCGATACCATGGAAGGATTTAAAGGTGAACACATATATGATTCAATGCTTTTGGGATATAGGTAGCAGAATCTGGCCAGTCTCTATAAAGAGTCACACAGGGTCATATGCATGTAATCCGCATAAATGCAGAGCTAGTAAAATAGGCCTTTGTATTTCAGCACTCCACTTCAATGTGTGATGTTCTGGCTGTCAAGGGTACCTGAAAGGGTGGTGGAAGCCAATTCGATAACAACTTTCATGAGAGATGTAGATAAATATTTGGGGAGGAAAGTTTGCAGGGCTATGGGGAGAGAGCGGGGGAGTGGAATTGAATTGGATAGCTCTTTTCAAAGAGCTGGCACAGACATGATGGGCCGAATGGCCTACTTCTGTGTTGCATAATTCTATGACACGAATGTGGTTAGCAGGAATGACTTACAAGCACACGTGCACATTGCAAGAGAAGGCAGAAAGAAAGGTGCTCAAACCACTCTGAGATTGCTTCTCATTGCAGAATAGCACCCTTTACAGGTCCTGTACCTCGCAGATGTCCTTCAAATGTTTGATGTAGACCCGCTCGGTGTTCATGATCTCTTTGATGACGTTGGTTCGCATCTGCTCTTTATTCTCTGCAGTTTTCAGGAAGCGGTGTTTGCTGGAACTGGCATCCAGTTGCTCCTCTGGAGTCTTCCCAGTGTATTCACCCATGGCATCCTCCTGATTCACTCGCAGCTAATGAAGTAAAACATAGGGTTTAGAACCCAGATGTGTACAGCACAGAAGAAGGTATTTCACCCCATTGTGTCATTGTTGTCTCATTCAACCCCATTTGGTCACAATTAGCTGCCTTTTCCATTGTACTTACCCCTGAAAATTACTCCTTTTTAGGTACTCATCTAGTTCCCTCTTGAAGCTTATATGGGTCTGCCTTAACCACTGCACCCAGTAGAGCATTAGACATATCTATTGCAAATTTCTCTGTGCTCAGGTATTTTATACACAAAGTTATCACACCCTTTAAGAAAGGGACTGATATATATATATATATGTACACATCACAATATTCAGTGCAAGTTTTATTGTATTAAAAACTCACATGGGAGCTGTAATAACAGTCTGTGCTCCTGTTATCCTTTCCTCAATTTGTTCTTGGTAGATAACACTGTCATAATGTGGTTGTGTTAGATCAGACGCTGTTTAGTGGATCCAGGAAATCTCTTTTTGCACTGTCCATGTCCTTTAACTAGTGTGAAACACCAGTTACCCATGTGTACTGCACACATGCTGAGGGTCTGAAGCATTCTCTCACCAACAGACAACGTGAATGCATGATACACTGTGAGAAAACATCTCACATATCTTCTCTTCATTCACAAATGAAGCAACCGATTTAAAATAAAACTGCCATCTTGCATTCTGCCCCTGCAGTAACACTCTGAATACCGTCTATAGATAAGTGGGCTGGAACATGATTACGACAGTGGAAAAGAATGAGCCATTTCTTGATCACCCTTGAGATTTGCCAACCAAGCTAAGGATTGGATTTGGTACATGATACTGTGCAAATTTTCTGAAAAGACCACATGGTTAGTGTGCAGACAAACCTCATGAATTGTTCAGACATTAGTAGCAAATGCAATGATAATAATAATCCTTGCATGTCATACAGTGTTTTCATATCGCTGAGACATCTCAAAGTGCTTCATAAGATTTTACTCTGAAGTGCAGTGACTGTATTTTTAGTGTGAATGTGGCAGCTAATTTGTCCACAGCAATGTCCCATAAACAGCCGTAAAGTGAATGGCCAATTTTATTTGGGAGACTGGTAGTTAGGACACCTGGAGAAACTCCCTGCTCTTTTTTGAATCATGCCATGAGATCTTTAATGACACCTGAATGGGCAGATGGGCCTCAGTTCAACGTCTTAGCTGAAAGAATAGCACCACCGACAGTTCATCTGCAAATGCACAGTCACTACACTTCACAGTAAATGCTTATTTATCATTATTACAGATGGCTTATTTGAAGAGTTAATTCATTCCATAATAATTGGTCTTTCTGCCAGACTCCCAACTGAGTTCTCTTCTGCATACCCACTACAACAACAAAAACAAATTACATTTTATAGCGCTTTTCATGTCAGGAGGACGTCCCTCATACTTTCCAAATTCCAAGTGTCTCAAAGGATCAATTTTCAAAATCATTGTCCTGGTCTTCCAATCCCTTTACGGGTTTGTCCCACCCAATCTGCTGCAGCTATCCATTTCACTCTTACTCCTCTTGTTTACTCCTTGCTCCCCCACTCCCATCCCTAACTATCGATGGTCATGCTTTCAGCCACTATGCCCTTGTCCTCTTCTAAAACTACTTTGCCTTGTACCCTATCCCACTGCCTCTAGAGGCCTTCTTAAAAGATTTTTCTTCAATTGTGCCTTAGCTCAACATCTTCAACTCTCCAGCTTCTCCGTTCTGCATCCATCACAACATTTGTCTGTGTATTTTGGGGGCAAAACATGGCAGCCAGTCACATGCAGCAATCAATGTACCCACAAGCAGCTGTGGAAGGGGTGACAATTTTATTTGGGAGATTGTAGGCCAAGACACCGGGAGAAATTCCCTTCTCTTTTCAAATAGTGCAATGAGGTCTTTAACATCCACCCGATCAGGCAGACAGAACCTCGGTTTAACGTCTCATCTAAAGGACGGCACCTCTGATAGTGCAACATCCCCCCCAGCTGCATTGGAGTGTCGTCTTACCATGTTCCGATGTGGGGCTTGAACCTACAACTTTTTCAGTCATGAGTGCTACCACTTAGCCTGTCATGTCCAATAGGATATTACAGACACATCCCCTCCATAGATTGAGTGACCACAATTCTATTCTGTTGAGTAAATAGAATTGTCAACTTGTAAGTTGCCCAAAAGCACTGGTCAGCGGTTCCATTTCTGTATTCATTCAGTTTGAGAATGAGAGACCTACCCGGACAAAGCTGGCAGGAAACCAGGCTTCCTTGTCATCTATCAGCCCCCACCACCATTCCTTGTTGGATGCATCAAGGACCTGGATGACATCACCGGCTTTGAAGCCAAGCTCCTGATCGTCCATAGTAACGTGATCCCATAATGCTTCTGCGTAGACGATGTGGCCATCACTTATCAACTGCAGGGAGATCAGAAGATTCTGTTAGCAATGGAAAACATCACAAAACATTTCACTGTTTCTATAAACTAGCAATGTTCCTTGTGTTATTATAGGTTAGTAGCTCCACTGAGATTCAATTGGTAGCACTCTCGCTTCTGGATTAATAAATCATGGATTTAACCCACACCAGGATTTTCAGCTCTTAATCTCATTTGACACTAGTCTAGAAATGAGAAGTATTGCAGTGTGAGAGGTGACAGCTTTTGGACAAGGTATGTTCAAGCCTGACATTCAGTTCAGAGTCTAGACTGATTATTCTGTGCCGTATAGGTGAAACCCTGCATTGTTTAAAGTGTTGTCCTTTGAGGTGAGACGTTAAACTAAGGATCCATCTGCCTATTCAAGTAAATATTAAAGATCGTGTGACACTATTTGAAACGAGAAACGAGTTTTTCCCACCACTATGGCAAACAATCCTTCAGATAAATTGGTGGTTCACTTCATGACTGTTTGTGGGATTTTGCTATATGCAAAAGGATTGTTGAGTTTGCCTACAAAATATAGAATTTACTATACTTAACAGTGATTACCCGGTGACATTTCAGCATTATAAGTGCTATGCCAAACGCAATAAAATATTATTATTAATATTAAATTGAAGGTCCCTTTACTTGCTGTTCAGGTAAACATTAAAGATCCCTCAACACTATTCCCCCTCATCCAAATTCAAAGAAAGATAATTTCATTCATTTATCTGTTTGTTGAATGCTCCAGGCATAGATTAGTTGCTGAACCTGTCCTCATAACAACATTCAGTTCACTTCAAGGCAATTCACAGTGTGAAGCCCTTTAAGACATTTTGACAGGATAAGACATTATAACTTCAAGTATCATTTATTATTTTCATAAGAGATCAAAGGGTATCAATTGAGTTAAGAAAAAGCACATTGATAATCATCCTTGCACCTGATACAGCATCTGACCATATTGTTGACATGACCCAAAGCGCTTCACCAGAATTTGTAGGCGAACATGGCAGCCAATTTGCGCACAGCAATATCCCACAAATGACCAATTGTTGTCCGGATACTGGAAAAAATGCCATTTTCTTTTCGAACGTTATTGTAAGATCTTGAACACCCACCTGAACAGGCAGATGGGACTTTGATTTAATGTCTCATATGAAGGACAGCACCTCTGAAAATACAGCGATCCCCCAGGGCTGTATTGGGGAGTGACAGCCTAGGCTTCTGAGTTCAAAGTCCCTTTGTGAGGTTTGAATTCACAAGTTTGTCTGACTCAAGAGGTGAGAATGCTAACAATTGAGTCAGGCTGATAACTAATTGTACACACACATGCCTTATTCTGTAAATCCTGTTACAAAACAGATCTAGACAAACACCACATGATAGAATAAGAATGGTGTTTGTTAAACATGAAGGCTAGTACCTCGTTGATCGCAAGCTGCTCACCACCAGGCTGAAGATATCGGGGGTTTGTTTGGCATATCTCCTCATACGTAAAATCCTCCTCACTGCCATTGTCATCAATCAGTCCTGACGGGTCTGTACCTCCATCTGCAGACACTAACAAAGGTCAACAATTTAAACATTTCACAATTGATGTATCGCATGGATTAACCCCTGTGCATCGCCCAGATTCAAGAGACCTTGACCCAAACCCAGCATCTTATCGGAAATAAACTTTGTCAAATACAGGCGAGAATGGTGTTTACACTACTGGCACTTTTGCCAGCAGTTGGGGCCACAAGAGAGGTCTTTAACCACATCACCATTTCAGCAGCACCTCTGGTGGCACATATACTCTGCCCACAACCCACAGTGGGAACAGAGCTCAAATAATACATTGCCACAAAGAGACCAGGTTATACTTCACGTAGTCTGTACACCACTGAACAGCATGAACATTCAAGCAATGGTTCAGCTCCAATGGTACAAGAGGAATGCAAAATGGACATTTTAAAGACAGATGTCAGGAAGTATTTCTTTACCCAGAAATATTGTATGATGCATTTGAATAATATTTTGCTGAATGAAAGATCATGCAATTTTCTTAGTAGTTTAAAATAAAAATGAAAGTACAGCTTTGCTACAAACATTCCTAAACAAACGTTTTGCCCACAAAATATACAGTCAATTTACTTTACAGTATATTCTGTAAAGCGCTTTGAGACGTGTCGAGACATGATAAGGCGCTATATCAAACGCAACGATTATTATTATTATTACCCATCTGGCACCCAAAATTTAAGCTCAACAATACGTGTGATTTTATACAGATGGAGATTTACAGGGTTACAGTCTGACATCCAGACAAAACAATGCAAATGTAATTGAGCCTGGACTGCAAAGATCAATTTCAATTGATCTGAACCAAAATGCCACGAGTACATAAACAGCTCTGCACAAAGTTGATACATAGGATGACACTCAATGCAGTTTTGTTGATAGATTTCAGATACCAAGATGATGCTTGTTACCCCAGTATTTTTTCTAAAATCAAAAAAATTGCATTTTTCTTTATTCTAAAAATGAAAACCTTTTCCAGATTACTAAAGCCATAATGTTTTGGGATCATGTACATTTAGAATCATAAACCTAGAACGCTGCAGCACAGAAACAGGCCATCAAGTCTGCACTCGTGTTTTCTCCACACGAGCCAATTACTCTCCTATTCGCTGTTCTGGATCCATTAATATTCCTCCCCTTCCTGAATCTATCCATGTCTCTTTCAAATTTGCCAACTAATGCACAGTCACTACACTTTACGAAAAGTCCTGTGAAGCCTTTTGAGACATTTCACCAACGTGATAAGGTGCTATCTCAAATGCAAGCGTTATTATTATAAAAGGATCTATGGGCTCTGCTTCAACTACTTGCAACTTGATTCTAAATTCAAATGACTTAGGTTTAAATGATTTACGTTGTCTGCAAAATACAATCAATAATACAATACGATTACCATTTATATAGCTCCTTTCACATTGGATCACACTGTCTCAAGTGCTTAACACTGCTGGCTGGGCACTGAGCTGGGGATGGGAACCGAAGGGGAGAAGAAAGATGAACAAAACCATAGTCATGTTGTTAAGGATATTAACTAGTTTCTCTGATAGCACAGTGGGTAAAGGCATCTCCTAGTGCAGCCTGAGGCAGGTTCAAATCCTGGTCTGTGCTGAACAACGATTTCCATTTATATAGCGTCTTTCGTATCTGCAAAACATCTCAAAGCGTTTCACACAGCTGACCGAAAGAGTGATTGAAAAGACGATAGGTCTTATGGTGGGATCTAAAGGTGGGAAGGGACGGGATGAGATGGAGGGAGTCCGGGACGGAGGGTGAGATACATGAAGCAGTCTGGGGGATGTGGATAAAGTGGAGCCAAGCGAGGATAAGGACGTTTAGAGTGTGGGAGAGTTTGTTGATTTCAGCATGTCAGTGGTCTGGAGGGGGTGGGGGGGGGGGGTTCTAAAATTGACCTCATCGTTACCTGGATTAGGGAGAAGAACATCACATTGTTATTGAGACTGTGAAAATTGTGCAGATGTGGAAGGTCAGGCGAGCACAGGGTGGAGTTTAGCTGTAGTGTGCCCGCAGTCAAATGCCCAGCTGACACAGGCTCACACATGAACAGTTATTTTGTCTCAGTGCTGGGAGGAGTGCCTGTGGAACCACACTAAAAGGGAAAGGAATTGGCTGCGTTCGGGAGGAGGAGGAGGAGGAGGCCAGGGAAAGCAGAGGAGAAAAAATGCTCGTAAATAGACCTTTCCAAAATCGATTGACAATCGGTATTCACAAATACATTCCTCTTCCTACAGCACAAAATGTAAACTTCCTGGCAATTCAAAACACGCTGGGTCTCTGTGAAAAGATAAGCCGAGCTTTAGGGAGGCTCTGGCCTACTTATCAAGCACTGCGGGTAACAAATCCAGGCCAGACAAGCCAAGTGAAAGCTGGTGCTGTTGCTAAGATACCAGAGGTCAGTGTTTGTTTACTAGACTGGTCCAAACAGCTGGACAAGAGAAAGCTTCCATTAAACACAATGTTGTGCTGATCCAATCTCACGCCAAATCTCAACTTGAATGCCACACAGTGGTATGCAACTACTGAAATTCATGTGACATTTGTATGATCCTCAATATATTAGTTTTCTTAGTATAAGCAGCAAAAAAAAATCATGATTTGCATTTATATAGCCTCATTCGTGCAGGATGGAGGGCTTCACAGTGGTGGGTTTGGTTGCTGAGCAAGGGAAGTCGTGTTTGACAAATCTCATAGAATTTTTTGAGGATATTTCCAGTAAACTAGATAAGGGTGAATCAGTGGATGTGGTCTATTTGGACTTCCAGAAGGCATTCGATAAGGTGCCGCATAAAAGGTCAGTCCAAAAGATAAGGGCCCATGGAATTGGGGAGAGCATATTAACGTGGATTGGGGAATGGTTAACGCGTAGGAAACAAAGATTGGCGGGATGTGACTAGTGGAGTGCTACAAGGATCAGTCCTTGGGCCTCAGCTATTTACCATCTACATCAACGATCTTGATGAGGACATCAAAGTTAATATATCTAAATTCGCGGATGACACAAAACTAGGAGGAAGTGTCAACACAGAGGACAACATTAAAAAAATGCAGCGAGACATAGATAGGTTAGGTGATTGGGCAGGTAGGTGGCAGATGAAATATAATGTAGGGAAGTGCGAAGTCATCCACCTCGGTAGCAAAAACAGTAGAGCGGGTTATATTTTAGAAAGGGAGAGATTGGAATGTGTTAGCGTCCAGAGGGACTTGGATGTCCTTGTACACCAATCACAGAAAGTTAGTCTGCAGGTGCAGCGAGCAATTAAGAAGGCGAACGGTATGTTAGCATTCATTATGAAAGGATTAGAGTATAAGAGTAGGGAAGTCTTGCTGCAACTGTATAGGGCCCTGGTGAGACCACACCTGGAATACTGTGTGCAGTTTTGGTCTCCTTATTTAAGGAAGGATGTACTTGCCTTGGAGGGGGTGCAGTGTAGATTTACCAGGTTAGTACCAGGGATGAAGGGGATGAGTTACGAGGATAGGCTGACCAATTTGGGCCTATATTCGCTAGAATATAGAAGAATTAGAGGGGATCTTATAGAAATCTATAAGATCATCAAAGGGCATGATAGAGTAGATAGTGGGAGATTGTTTCCCCTGGTTGGAGAAACTAAAACCAGGGGTCACCACCTTAAAATCAGAGGCCAGCCCTTTCGCACTGAGTTGAGGAAGAACTATTGTGTAATTGTGTGTGTGTGTGCATGTATCTGTGCGTGTCTATAAGTGTACGTGTGTGTGTTTGTGCTCGTGCTTGCGCATGTTTTTATGTGTGTCTGTATAACAGGCTTTATATGTTCACTTTCAGATTTTACTGATCAACACGTATTTTCTGCTCTACCTCTGTCCTGATAAGTCAGGGCAGTTAACATTTAGTCCACATTCACAATGTGGCTCCTTAAAGGAACACTACTACCTTCACAAAACCACATCCCACTTCACCAACCTCAGCAAAACCACAATGCCCGTTTCGTCGCACACTTCAAGAATACATTACAATGACAGACATGACACATGGCTTTCTTTTCTCATAAATCCAGAACGGCTTAATTCAGTTGATCATTACCACCCCCCCACCCAACCACCACCACCGCTCTGGAATACTGAGGATACAAATTGTCATCTTCACAAGAACATAACAACAACAAAATTACATTTGTAACAGCACAGGAGAGGTTCAAACAAGAAGACCCTTCTGCCCATTTAATCTCATCCATTCAGAACACCCACCCTACCAAGGTTATTGTTAACTATATATATCTATACACAGTATATATTATATATATATGTGTGTGTATGTATGTATACTCAATATCAGCAGTTGGAAGCCAAAGTGAAATGGGCAAGTTTGGGACAAATTGTTCTCAGTCAAAGACACATTCGCCCTGAGTTACCTTACAAGAATGATCGATCCCTTCGTTAAGTTTCCAAGGATCAAGAACATCAAACACTGTAGCCTGTGAACTGAAGTTGGAAAGGACAGGGAAGGGGATAGGTGGGGCGGGGAAGGTTCTGTATTTGGTGAACATAAACCGTGTATTGTGTATAACCCACCCCATAATTTATTTTAAAATAAAATAAGGTTCAAACAACCCACGGGACAATAGGGCAATAAATAACAGAGTTCAAGAATGAAAAGAGGGAATGCTGCTCGCCAGAACTTGGTCAGGTGCAGAGTTTTGAGAATTGCACAGATTTTTTCTGCCGGAATTAAAGATGCTATCTTTTGAGAGTAGTAGAATTTTCTATACTGAATCTACATTCTCCTGAGAGGAGGGAAATGGGTTTTCTTTCTCATGTATAATCTGCAGGGTTTGCATGGAACAATACGGTAATTGCTAAGTACTGTGCCCACATTTGTTGTACTGCCACCAATAAGCAGAGCCCACGAAGCACACATTTTAATGCAGAGAATTGGACTTGGAATCCGATCACCTGCTTGTTAGAGCAATAAAGCTACAGTGTCATTCAACAAGAGGTGTAGCAGTCATAACAGTACAGTATTTAGTCATTAATATGCTGCTTTGCTCTATTCAGCTATTTAATGCCTTAAGATCTTAAGTAAAACGGTGAACGCCTTAACATTTTTCTACACTGTAAATCTATCCCTTTTAAGCCTTTTCTTACTTTGATTCGCATTTTAAAATCGGCATTTCTAAATAGCTGTAAAGGCAGCTGGATAAGCAGTTTTTCTCCCACTCCTTATTTTCTGTTTTTGCCATCTACAGGCACGCTGACATGTAAATGAGCAACAATACATCGGGGTCATACATACCAATCTGTAGACTCTCTAGACTCCAAAACCTCGCCAGCTCTCCCCTTGCTACCATTCTGCCACCTGATTCCTACGGATTTAACAGTGCCAAAGCAGATGATTTACTTAGGGCATTGTCGCTGAATCCTTGTAAAGCAAATCCAATGTATTTGAACCTCTGCAATGGTTCATTCATTGACTCGATTCCCTGCCTGCTTCATCAGGCACCAACAGAGTACTGTTCACTAGACATGGAGTGCTTACTGTGGGGATTTTTTTCACACACATACACACACACACACTCACTGTGACATCATGGGGCACCTCTAGGGAGGCTGGTGAACAAAAAAAGCCACTGAAATCTACAAAGAACAGGCAAAGGCAACATCTGCACTATTTTAAAAGTTATTTCCACACTGAAGGCATCACTCGGGGAATCAAGATTGTAGGAACTATTTAGATCAATCTCTGACGAGGTACTAAATATATAAACTGCACGTGGTTTGTGTGAATAAGAGGATAAAAGAAACAGAAAGTATGTGGGGCATGATTCCACTAAGAAGTGACTCCCTTGTCTGCCAACATTTCAATAGACAACTCATAAATGTCAGTTCCAATTGCCAATTTGTTTTGGTGACATTTTCCAAACCCTCCTCCTTCCCCCACCCTGCATTTCTCCCCCGCCCCACCCCCACAAGGGGAGCTTACTGGAAGCCATCACAACAGTCTCCCCACAGGCATGTGAATGCTAGAAGTTGCACTGGTTCTGAATACGAATTAGAAGCTAAATGTTGCATTGCAATATTAATGATGATCCACTGATGCACACAATCCTGTCCAATTCTATATATAAAGGAAAGGATTTCTAACAAAGAGAGCTGGCACTTTCAATACTGTGGCTTCACCCTACTGACTACGAAGGCTTGCCACCGGTTTAATAATAATAATAATAATCCTTGCACGGCATATGTCCCACAAACAGCCAAGGAGTGAGTTACCAATTTTGTTTGTGATTTTGTTGGCCAGGACACTGGGAGAAACTGAAGGCTATATTTAAGAACATGCCAATTCCGGATGCTCTAAAATGCTACATAAATAGAGTATGTCCACAACAAGTGCAATTCCTTCCCTGAGGTACACATCTGTACACTGTACATTCTCCAGCATCCAGTATGTAATGTAAGTAATCATTAATGCCCTAGAAGCCTTCGGTTTAATGTCATCAGACAATTTTACAGATACAGATAATTACTTAATCTACATAAAGTGCCAACATTTTCTACTTAATACCCGATAGTCCGAGAAAGACTCATCTTTAGAAACAGATGGTGGATTTGGAGGAATTTCAGCTCAGACATATCTAAACAAAACTGCATAATCCTACAGAAGATCAAAAGCAAATTTTAAAGGGGCAGCTCTCCATTTGGAGGAAACCGGATGAGTTGTGAAAAGGGATGATTTCCTGAAAGCAGGCTGGAAAGCCGTCTTAAATGCCACTTGGGGAAAAAGGTCCATCTGCATCTGTAAAGCTTTTTCAGTATCTAAAATGAACCGCTCTCTCGCATAATTTGAGGCAGCAATGTCAACACTCGCCCCATCGAACTCGCCTCATGTAAAACGACCTTCCTTTACCAAAGAATATAGCACCTGCCATTCAACCCAAGCCCAATATTGCGTCTATGAAAAAAAGTTCATTCTTTTGCATATTGCTATTAAGTCACACACCTTCACCGTGTTTATTTCACCGTCAGCATGAATGTGTTTAGATGGCTAAGCAGCCAAGTTCCCTTTAAGTGCTGGGATAAAGGTTGGTGGGTGTCAAGTGGAGCCACAAAGCAAAGACTTTTCTCCATAGATGAATGGCACCAGGTTTCTGCTACTCATTTTCCAATAGTCAGTTGCAAAGCAGTGAAGACCTGTTAGCTGCCTCCATAGAAGGCATTTAGTGATAGCAAAGGAATGGGTGTAAAATATTAACATAGTAAGACCTATATTAAGGTTAAAGCACAGTGGACTTCTTGTTCAATGACCTACACACTTTTTGCTAACTCGGTTTAATTTGCTGCACTGTTGGCTGCTCCTTTAATTGTATCACTGCCTTTTTTGTTCCTCCTCCTCCTCTGAATTGCTACGTGATTTTTCTCCCATTACCTTGTACCCTGAAGCTGCTGACTCAAGCTGGGAAATAGTTGCAATAGATGCTGGCAGCTCTCCAGTGCTTTGTCCAATTGGTTGTTTTGGGAGCACCAGCCAGCGGACATCAATGGTTCTTTGAACTGGGGCCATCACATCCTGCCTCGACCAGTATCAACATCCTGGCTCACTTCCACCAATTGCTATTAGAGAGGGACCCAGGAGTATTGAAGCCACATGTAATAAATAACCTACTTCGAATTCAACACAAAGCTGGGACTGAACAGAAGACTTCCCTGAGCTCAGTATCATACCTTACGCTGCATTTCTCCACTGAGATGTGGTGAGATGAGGTGACCACAGGGTGTATGGTGTGAATCAAGAAATACCGCAAACTAGACCCCAATTATACAGTAGAACCTGTTACAAGGCAACATTACAGCACAGATTCACTTATTGGGTTGCGGACTCCGATATTTAATAGCTCAAAAAAATAAAAATTGTTACATGCTGAGTCCATTAGCGCTTCAAAAAGTAGCCAACTTCCGGTCATCAGGTCATCACCCACGTCATTTCCTGTGTGCTGCCATGCGAAGTTGGCGGACACTTTTGCGTGCAATCGCGCCCAGTTGGGATTTTATGCAACTCATCTACTGTGTTATTACTGGAACTCATTAGTGTACCACTATATCACCAAAGCACATTCAATAATATAATGAGTCCTGCTTTTGAGTTAGTGTCTACAATGTCCAAACATATCAAAACACTTGCATTGGTAGGCAAACGTGACAGCCAGCACGTCTACAATAGTGTCCCACAAACAGTCAGGAAATAATGAGAGCCACGGATTTATCTGGAGGATTATTGGCCAGAGTACTAGGAAATATTCCCTTCTCTTTTCAAATTGTGTCATGCGATCTTTAAATGTCATGAACAGGCAGACATGACCTTATTTTAATGTCTCATCTGAAGGATGGCAACTCTGACAGTGCAGCTTCGCACAGCACTGCATTGTAGTGTCCACAAAGTCTGTGAGGTCAAAACCCTAATCCTGGAGCATGAACCCACAACCTTCTGAACCAGAGGCAGGTCTGCTACCTTCTGAGCCAGGATGACAAAAATGTGGATGGATCTGAAGAGCACAGTTTTATTTCAAGGTCTCTAAATTCTCTTTGTTCAAGGCTTTGAATAAAATCAGATGAACTAATGCCAGATTATACAAAGCCCTGCTATTGCAACTCATCAAATTACCAAATACCATCTGTATTAATAAGATGTTTTCATAGTTATTAGTCTGGGTTATAGGCACACAAGTGTACACCTGGCATAGCAGTCTAAGTTGCTGGAGCTAAAATTCAGCAATGCAATTATAACTGTCTGGACATCACAGGCTCCTCAGTACATTAGTAGTTTATGCTCAGCATCCCTCTGGTTGAAATAGTAAATTGTAGGTCAGAATTCTACCATCATCTAATAATAATAATTTGTTCACTCAATCCAAGACTATTTGTGGAACACTGCTGTGCGCAAATCGGTGCCGCGTTTCGCCCACAATATATACAGTCACTACACTTTACAGTATATCCTGTGAAGCTCTTTGAGACGTCTCAATGATGTGATAAGTCGCTATATCAAATGCAAGGATTATTATTATTATCTCCCATTAACATCCATCTACACTGACTTGCTGCTGAGCCTCCTGGAGACAGAGGCAGCTTCACAGTAGGCATGTCTATTTGCCAAAGCATCTCACATGAGTACCTGGATTGAGCAGCTGGTGCTGAATAAGCCTGGTACACGGCATTGGACTTGGGTCCCGAGAACACCAAGGTGGCTAGCACTTAACAAGCTGTCCTGTAAAGGTCCTCCCACCACCCTGAAGGCAGGTGCCATGTGCTTGTTAAGATGGACATTAAAGATTCCATAGCACTATTTGAGAAGTGAAGCGAGTTTTTCCTGTTGTCCTGGCCAACAATCACTTACAATATATGGCCATTACGTGTCATAGTAATTCCTATGAAGTCTTTTGAGATATCCTTCTGATGTGAAGGCGCTATATCAAATGCAAGGAATATTATTTTAATTAAAACACAGATTGCTTAACTTCAAATTGCATTACTTACCATTTGATGCTCTCATTTGCCGCCTTCGCCCAACCCGATCCAAATCAATGGGTGTGCTTTGGGAGAAGGTGAAAGGTCGCAGTCTAGCAGATACTGCTTTGTATGGTGGAACTTGATGCGAAGGAACAGGCGGTCGAGCAACTGTCTAAAACCAAACAAAAACAACACATGTCAACTTTGCAAAATGTTCTATTTGGATAGAAGAGGGGAAAAAGTCAACCTGACGAAAATCTTCAGGAGAAAATTCAGAAAGAGAGGTTCTACAGGTACGTAATGTATAAATATTCCCCTTCACTTAAGTTCACAATTGCAGTGACACCATTTTGAAGTTGGTTTACATTTGGTCCATTAGATTTCAGGAGTTTATTAGCTCCAAGATTCATGTAATACCTAATTTTTATTTAAGATTGTCCTACGAAGCCTAAAGGAAATATTAGTACTTTAAAATTCTCCAGAATAGAATACACTCACGGTGGTAACACCTTGGTGGATCTTATCTATATTTATTCACTATTGTAAGGAACGACCATGAGTTATTGTTTCATTTTGTATAACTGATAGGTAAAGTGATGCTTTGCATCTGCAAGAAATGTTCCTGACCCCATTTTCAATGGATGGTTGACTCCAATTTGATATTGGTGCGCCAGAATTTTAGGAAGTTGTTGAGAACAAAATGCCCTCGTTGTGAGGTGGATGAGAACAAAACAACAACAACCTGCATTTATATGGCGCCCTTCATGCCGGACGTCGTCTGCTATGACACAGCATTGATGCTACGGCTATTTCCTTCCAAAGTTACCAAGTACTTTTTAACTTAACAACAACAACAAGATTACATTTGTATAGCGCCTTTCACGTCGGGAGGATGTCCCAAGGCGCTGGACAATATATTATTATTAAGTTAAACACCCATATTACAAACCCAGTCAGATACTTCTTTAAAATGAAACAAATTATTAAACCAAACAAGCTTCTCTTCTCAAAAGCACCACTAATACTTGAGGAATCCGCTGAGCAGAGGGATCAACCGAGTCGGTGGGTGGGGTTGCACGAGGTCGCAGAGGTCGGACTAGGTGTTGACATCATGGCCTTAACGGAAACCTGGCTCACCCCAGGTGACACCTTCCCCCTCACGGAGGCCACACCACCCGGCTACACCTACCACCACATCCCTCGCCCCAACCGCCGTGGCGGTGGTGTAGCCCTTATCTCAAGGACACCACTTGCCCTATCCCCCTACTTCTCTGCTCTTTCCCCTCTTTTGAGCAGCTCACACTCTCCCACCCCTCCTTTTTCTCACTCAAAATCCTCCTCCTCTACCGGCCCCCTAAAACGTCTCCCACCTTCATCTCCAATATTTCTACCCTACTAACATCTCTCTGCCTCTGCTCTGATCGCCTCATCATCCTCGGTGACTTTAACCTGCACTTCACCCCCTCCTGCTCCATCTCCTCCCTGCTCTCCTCGCTCAACCTCTCCCTCCACATCAACTCTGCCACTCACAGTCACGGCCACCCACTCAATTTGGTGATCACACGGGGCCTCAGTGTCTCGGATGTCACCATTACCGACAAGGCCGTCTCCGATCACCACTTCATCTCCTTCGCCACCTCCACCCCCTTCCCCATCTCCACCAGACCCACCACCATCTACTACCGCCCCTGGAAGAAGTTACCCCCACAATCCCTAACCTCTGCCTTGGAGTCCTCTGAACTCCTCTCCCCCTGCCTTCAACCCTCACTGAGCTCTCTTCTGCTCTCATCCTCCTCCACAACACCCTCTCCTGCACACTCAACACTCTTGCCCCCATCACCTCCCGTACTGTCTCCTACTCTCGCTCCTCCCCCTGGTTCACCACCCACCTCCGCTCACTGAAGAGCCAGGTGCGGGCCGCTGAATGCACCTGCCTCAAATCTGGCCTAACGGTCCACCGACAAATCTGGCTGGACCTCCTCAAAATCTACCGCTCCACTCTAGCCTCGGCCAAGTCGTCCTTCTACTCCAGGATAATCCTGGAGGCGAAGAACAACCCCAGGCTTCTGTTCTCTACCACATCCCGACTCCTCTGTCCCCCCCGCCACCCCGCGCAGGTCATCTCCTCCAACCTTCACTGCGAGGAGATGCTGGATTTCCTTGAATCCAAAATCAAGGGAATCCGCTCTGTGGTCACTCCCCCTCCAACTTCCACCCACCCCCCCACCCCTTCCCTCCCACACTCCGAGTCCTACCCATCCTCCCCTACACACCTTCAAACCCGTTTCCCCACCATCTGTCACCAAACTCATCCTATCCCCGAAACCCACCACCTGCTCCCTTGATCCCATCCCCAATCCACTCCTTATCTCTCTGCTCCACCTCCTTGCCCCACTTATCACAGACATCATCAACCTGTCCCTCTCCTCTGGCTCTGTTCCCATTCCCCTAAAAACTGCCACCATCACTCCCACTTTGAGTTGTCGCCTCCCAGCTGCGCTCTTTCCTCTCCACCCATGCATTTTTCGAACCCCTTCAGTTGGGTTTCCGTGCTGCCCATAGCACAGAAACTGCCCTGGTCAAGGTCACCAATGACATCTTGACCATCTGTGACCAGGGCTCCCTCTGCCTCTTCGTCCTCCTCGACCTATCGGCAGCATTCGATACGGTCGGCCACGCTATCCTCCTCCACCGCTTGTCCTCCCACCTCAACCTTCAAGACCCTGTCCTTGAGTGGTTTAGGTCGTACCTCTCCCACCATCTTCATTTTGTTTCCACAAATGGCTTTTCCTCCAGCCCCCGCACTGTCTTGTGTGGTGTCCCTCAGGGCTCTGTCCTCGGTCCCCTCCTCTTCACCCTCTATATGGTGGCATCATCCGCAGACATGGGGTTAACTTCCACATATATCCGGATGACATCCAACTCTACCTTTCCTCCTCTACCCTCAACTCCACGACCACCGATGTCCTGACAGCTGCCTGTCCGACATCGAGTCCTGGATGAGAGACAACTTTCTTCAGCTCAACGTGCGCAAAACCGAGGCCCTCCTGATTGGCTCACGTCAGCGCCTCCGCACCTCAGGCGCTGACAGCATCAGCATCCAAGGCTGCACTCTCCACCTCTCAAAGCCAGTCAGGAACCTCGGGGTTCTGTTCGACCCTGAGCTGTCCTTTCTTCCTCATATCCGCGCCACAACTGGCACCGCCTTCCATCACCTCCGAAACATCGCCAGACTACGGCACTACCTCACCCCTCACGCTGCTGAAACTCTGGTCCACACCTTTATCACCTCAAGGCTGGACTATAGGAACTCTCTCTTCGCCGGCCTTCCCGGCACCTCCCTCCACAAGCTGCAGGTCATTCAGAACTCTGCAGCTCGTGTACTGTCCCGCACCAGGCTTCGCGACCACATCACTCCCACCCTCGCTCGCCTCCACTGGCTCCCCATCCCCCAGAGGATCGAATTCAAGATCCTCATCCTCACCTACAAGGCCATTCACGGCCTTGCTCCCTCCTACCTCTCCGACCTACTATCCCCCTACTTACCTGCCCATACCCTCCCTTCCTCTGCTCCACATCCGCCGCCCCAATCGCCCTACCATCGGTGGCCGGGCCTTCAGCCTCTCAGCCCCTATGCTCTGGAACTCCATCCCCCAGTGCCTACGCCGCCTCCTCCCTTTCCTCCTTCAAGGCCGGTCTCAAGACCTTTCTCTTTGACCGTGCCTTCAGCTCCCCTCTCGACTCTCTACCCCCTTCTTGCTCCCTCCCTTCCCTCCCCTCACCCTGACCATTTCCCCCCTGCTCGGGTCCTGACCCAACTGTCCAGCGCCTTGGGACGTCCTTCCGACGTGAAAGGTGCTCTATAAATGAAATCTTGTTGTTGTTGTTGTAGGCTGTGGAGGGATTTGAACATGAGGACAAACATCTTAAATTTAATCCGCTGGAAGATATGGGCCCAGTGGGAACTAGGTAAAGGGTTAAGTTAAAAACTCCCCTGTGGCAAGAGTTGAAAAATCACTGGTCAGAAAAATGGCAAAGGTTACAGAGTTTTGATGCCAGGAAACACATTTCTGTACATAAAGTACTCCTCTAGAAGACCTCACATTAGTCAGATCCACTCCGGAGAATGTGACTGTGATGATCTCAGCTCAGAGTTGAGGCCTCATGATACGGGTGTGACCTACATCATGGAGTTCCTGAGAACTGATTAACTCTGTCCCGATGTGCTCTTTACAGCCTCAAGGCTGCCATTTACACTGCCTTTTCCGTGACATGTTAAACCTCCATTGTTTTCCTCATTCTCATTGCAAGACGGCACACAGTTACACACTCCCTGGCTGGATGACAAGTGGATTACACTCCCTTTAAGCGAATCCTATGAAGCGCTCCCAGGCGTTTCTACAATGTGATAAGGCAATAAGTCAAATGCAAGTATTGTTATTTTCAGCTCTTTGCCTAATTATATGCCTAACTAAACCATCGCCCACAAAATAAACATAGTCACTCCATCCCAGAGAGGCCTGCATGCAACAGAGCACGTCTGTTAAACCAGCATTTCTGACACTGATCATTTCAATGTACCTAAATTCCCAAAGATAAGTTGACAACCTCCCTAGCTCGCCACCCCCACTCCCAAACCCTTTGAAGCTTTCCAGCTGTTAGGTGGAAAGACACTGAAATTTTGCTATGGAATGTGGGTTCCTTCAGAAGAAATTGTGCCAGTATCTTTGGGAGGCAGCACTCCCCAATCTGAATGTCTCCACAGCTGAGGGAGCCAAAGATATGTTATTATATCAGGGTCAGTTTTGATGCAAGTGGGTTCTGCTGCCCTAGTTGAATCCTGTGTTTTTTCAAAAAAAACTTGTGTTTCTTGAAGAATACGAAGAATACATAGAAATAGGCCTGCACCAGAATGATCTATAGCTTGTGGAGAAGGAAAGAGGGAGATGGTATTAAATGTGTAAAAAGGAATTAAATGTGTTGGGAGTTTTGTCTATAAATTAATACTTTATTAGCAATGATTATCCTCGCACTTGATATACCTCCCAATCACGTCTTTAAGCACTTCCTACGATTTACTGTAAAGTGTATTGTAGTTAAAGCGCTCCGAGACACTGCCCTCATGAAGGGAGCTATATAAATGCAAATTGTTGTTCTGTCAGTATTTATCGGTGAATGCACCTACTTCTCAATTACAAATAGTCCTTGCATTTGATGCAACGCCTACAAGCAAAATAATGCAAAGGATTTTAGCTGCGGATATTTTACATATGATCAAGGAAAGTTTATAGCTTGGAAGGAGGCATTTGCCCACAAACACAAATAGTCATACACTTTACAATATACCTAGTGAGCCACTTTGGGATGTTCTCCTGTCTCAAACTCCCCCATATATCACCTGTAATAACTCCCCTATTTATGCTATCTGCATTCCTTTCTTCAGAAGGTTCAATATTATATTTTCCTTAAGTATTTATCCAACTGCCTCTTAAATGCTGTTATGGATCGTGCTAGAAGGGAAATGTAATTCTTTAGGGATTGCAGTGGATGCCAAATACCCTTTTACTTGACGCGACAGTTAAAAGTTGCTGAAGTACAAAGTACAGTAGATGTAGAATGCTGCAATACGAGAAATTTATACCAGCTGCATTCACAAACTTAATTCATTGTTGAAGAAAATCCTATCGATTGATGGATTCAGCAATTCCTCGAATGGGCACAAATATTGCAGTGTATGAAAGAAGATGCAAGGCACGAGATTTGCAAGCACAGCCCAGAGAAGCAAATGTGCTGAGCTAAGCTTTTACTGTCAAAAGAACACACGGACAGAGACAATTTGCAAGATAGATTGCAAGTCTGATCAATGTCTGAAGTACAGAGGAGGAGGAGGAGCCAACCTACATTCCAGTTCAGAGCTCCTCGAGGAGAAGGGAAACTCTCAGTCAAAGATGACGGTAAGAGGCAGGCAAAGAAGATAGATGTGATCTCAGTGAAGAGCAGGCAGGTGAAGAGTTTAGTCATCTTACTTGAACCGCAAGCAGGTGGTCCATTTCCTCGGGTTGATCGCTGCCATAGAAACTGACCCCTCCGATTACCGAAATCGGCCTCCTTTTCCGGTTCCTGTGGCGCTGGACCACAGCGAATTTCCGCGGGTGTGAGTCCATAGAAGAGCCATCAACCGAGTCCCTGGCACCGGCTGAATCAGTTTTTTGAGGCTGAGAGGGTACCCCATCTTCAGGAATAGAAAACTTCCTGCTTGCCAGCTGCCCATAGTCTGACAGAGGCCTCTGCCGTTGCCTGGCTTTCCCGGAGCTCCATCGCCTCTCCACAGCCTTTTGGGCATCAACCTTCTCCTCCTCCTGCAAAGGTGATGCTTTCCTCCACTGATCTTCAGAAGAAACCTTTTAAATGTGAATACTGTGAGTACCATGAGTTCAACCATAAAAAGATAAGAATTATTGGACGAAAGAAGACCAAGGTCCATTTAGTTCGCCTTCCACCATCCCTGCAGTCGCATGCACATATCATGTCCCAAACTATCTACTGTATCCCACAATATTATTCTCTAAAAGAAATCTATCTAATTTGCTTTTGAAAGAATTAATACTGTTTGCTTCTACTGTCTCCCATCGGGAGTCTGTTTCATACATTTACTGCTCGCTCACTGAAATAGCGTTTCTGCAGATTTGTTTTGAATTTATCCCCTTCAATCGCAGGCCATGTCCTCTGATTCTACTGTTCTGGACAAGATAAAACAGCTTATAATGGTCTACATTATCCAGTCCCTTTAGAATCTTAAAGACTGCAATCTAACTTACAGTATATCTTTACATTACACTTAATTAGAAGGCTGGTGCTCTGGAATTTCTCCTACTCTTAACCTTAAAACCAGTTAATACTAAAATTTTGGAAAATTCTTGAATTCCTAAATGCCTTAATTTGGAAACTGGTTTTCCACAGTTCCCAGTGATCCAAGAAGGGATGGCTTCCATGTTGGGGCTAAATCTAAAAGTTTTCCAAAATTCCACACAATCTTACCTTTTTTTAAAAAATACAAAATAGTCTTTAAGGCTAAGGCTATGAGAAATTTTGAGGTTTTAGGTCATCGACAGATCAAACCAATAAGAGTAAACGATAAACTCAAATATTCTTTCTGTCACGATAAGTCACAAGAGGTATGGACAGACTCGGACAAATTTCCCCGAAAACAGGAGATTCTTATTGACATCACATAACTTGGCATCACCGTGAGGTGAATGAGGTCTCAATCAACCCTTTATACTACTTCCCAATACTCAGTTAGGTAAAAATTACATCTGAGTCTAAATTTACTCCACCAACGTAACATTTCACAGCATCCAGTATTTGTCAATTTTTTAAAGCCAGTCTTTAATTTTGAAGCCGTGTTTTTCTGTGAGTTTTTTTTCAAGTACTACAGAAAACAGGCTGAAAAGTTAAAACAGAATTCAATAATTTGTCAGGTGCTGCACACTCTGAAATGCTCCGTGAATGCAATAGAGGTGGAATTTCACCCAGGTGGTACTTCTATCCATTGATCAGTCCATTTTATTTCCCTGCGAGCAGACAAAAATTCCGTCAGTCTGATGCTGCCAAATAGATTCAACACCAGTGATCACATTTAAGCTGTGTGTATGTGTACCCTACATATTTGGCAATGAAGCTCCACTTGCTCAGTCCTCCCTGGTTCACTGAAAGCTCTCATGCAAATCTACTGAACTGTGCTCAACTTTGACAGCACAATTTTTTAATGCTATTATCATGGTTGATCGCATGACTAGCTCCTTCGTTGCAAAAATACATTACAAACTAATACCCAATGTACACAAACTAGGCTGCCCATATGCAGAATATCAAATGCAGTGTTTCTTTTTCCCCAGCTGATTCTATGTGATGTGGAGAGGAACATGTAAACCAGGCTTAGCCTTAAAATTTGGAACAAGACAGTTAGAATTGAGATCAGGAAGCGTTGCTTCAGGACAGAGAGTTGTAAAGATGTGTAATGCTGTGCCACAGAAAGTTGTTGGAAATGGAATCATAGGAATGTTTCAAAGAAAAATAGACAGCTACTCACTTGGGTTTTAGAAGTACAAAGGTGTAAGGCAAACAGGTGGAGCATTAGGATTAAAAGATTTGCACCTAATAAATGGTTTTCCTATGTCCCTAACTTGGATTGAGTTACGATGGTATCCCATGAATCAGCGGGTAAATACACTCTTCTGTAAATCTATTGAACTGGACACAACTTTGAACAAACAATTCTTTTAATGTTATAGAAGAGTTGATCGCATGACTAGCTTCTTCTTCAACAACAACAAATTACATTTGTATAGTGCCTTTCACGTCGGGAAGACATTCCAAGGATGTCCTTCATGACATTACTAGTGAAGCTTTATGCCCAATCATTGTACCAAAGTTGTGGGCATATGGTTTCACACATATGGCAATTTGTTCGACCACAGTTTTTGACAATGTTATACACGGTGTTATAACCTGTTATAACACGGTAGTTGGGGTGCGATCCATAACATCCCAAACTACGCTATAATGAGGCAAGATTGCTAAACAGCATTTTGCATTCACTGCTTCTAAGGATTCATAGAATCATAGAATCTTACAGCACAGAAGGAGGCCAATCGAGCCACAGTGTTTGTGCCGGCTCTTTGAAAGAGCTATCCAACGAGTCCCACTCCCCCCCCATTTTGACCCTGTAGCCCTGCAAATTTTTCCTTTTCAAGTATCTATTCAATTCCCTTTTGAAAGCTACTATCAAATCTGCTTCCATCACCTTTTCAGACAGATTATTATTATTCCCAATTTTGTTTGTTTCAGTGCAAACAGCCTCATATCCTCCAGTCTTTCCTCATTAGTAAAGTCTCTCATCCCTGATATCATCCTAGTGAATCTCTCCTCTGTACCAGCTCCAAGAATGATTAGCAGCAGTGAACATCACTAAAAGGATGGCGATTTTCACCCCATTAACTTTAGTTTTTCAATAGCATTCTTTATATTCTACAACAGCAAACTTGCATTTATATAGTGACTCCACACAGGGCAGCGTCTCAGAGCACTTAACAATGGCGGAGCCTGACACCAAGCCGGGGGGTGGGGGGGGTGGGGGAGAGAGGAGGTGGCCATAAGCACGTTCGAAGAGGATGGGTCGGGTCTTGAAAAAGAGAGGGGGCAAGGCGGAGGGACTGAGGGAGAGTGTTCCTGAGTTTCGGGGCATAGTGGCAGAAAGCGCAACATCTGATGGTGGGGCAGAGGGTGTGAGGGACGAGCAGGAGGCCAGTGCCAGCCGAGCAGAAGCGCCAGGTGGTGGATTGGGAAGTAAGGAGGTCGAAGAGGTAGGAAGGGATTTGAACATGAGTGTGAGGATCTTGAAGTCGAATTATAGATTAGAAACACAAACCTTTATATTTGATATAAAGTCTTTCAACTCAGGGTGACATCTCAAAGTACTTCAGAGGATTTACTGTGAATTTCTCATTCTAACAAAGCACAATAATAATCCTAATAATAATGCATTTGATATTGCACCTTATCACATCTTCGAGTAGTCTCAAAACGCTTCACAGAATATATTGTAAAATGAATTGACTGTATATTTTGTGGGCGAAATACGGCAGCCAATTGCGCACAGCAGTGTCCCACAAACAGTCTTGGATTGAGTGACCAAATTATTATTATTATTTTTCTTTGAAAGGATGATGACCCCCGGAAAAGCAATCCACCAATCGACTAATAACCGGGTTCCTCCTGACTGCTTGATAAACAGAGGTGTGTGGAGTAAGGAAATTTGCCCAACATTTCACCCTGCCTGGGAATCTAAGCCAAGTCTTCTTGCTTGCGAAGCAAGTGCTCTAACCACTAAGCTACAGGACTCCACACAAACAATAAATGTCAAGTGTCCTGCAGACCACTTGTCAACCGGCTCCCCAGCGAACCCTGTGCTTAAATTAAATGGATTTGGACAGCACATTTTAAAGAAGTTTCTCCCAATGTACTCACCAACAATTCCCTCAATAAAATCAGTCATTCACTTCATGGCTGTTTGTGGGACATTGCTATATGTAAATTGGCTAATTCATTCACCTACAGAATATACAGTCACTCCACTTTACAGTCTATCCTGCAAAGCAATTTGAGATGTCCTCCCGATGTGAAAGGCGCTATGCCAAATGTAAGTATTTTTTAAATAAATTGATTTCTTTCAATACACTGTACAAACAGTAACTGACCATTACAACAACAACTTGCTTTTATCTAGCGCCCTTCACACGGGGTACCAGCCTGGAGTGCTTGACAGTGGCGGAGTCTGACACCGAGCCAGGAGAGAGGGAGGAGGATGACCATGAGCACTATCAAAAAGGAAGGTCTTTAGGCTGGGAGGGAGAGGGCAAGGCTGAGGGATTGAGGGAGAGATAGCAAATACACACAGTAATAATGCACCAAATCCACCTATTCGCTGCAGCACCTACCTCATGGTCAGCCACAGTCAATGGTGGGGTCAGGCAGATACACTGAAATATCACGCAGCGTGTCTTGAGAACAGGCATTTATTCATTTAGTGCATTTCCATCCTGTTCTGAGAATTGGGCAGTCATCAGTTAGCCAGATCTGAATGCTCATGGCTCACGGGACCAATACCCACAACTGTGTGCTTTTACCTCTGCCGAGATCCAACGCGTTTAGAGTAAGACAGATGCAGTACAAAGATGCAGTGAAAGTTCTCATCAATTGCACGCTGTGCCCATTGAAACACAATTTCACAACCACAAGGATTAGGCTGTAGCTCATTCTACTTGGTGTGGAGTCAGGGCCTGCTGTGGAAACACAGATCTATGTAGCATGCCCGCCCAGTCTGTTTCTCAACCCAATGAAACAACTTCTAAATTTAGTGGAGGCTATAAATTTGTATTGATCTTAGCTACGTGGACCATATTACCTTCTGCAGATGCAGCAATAAGATCGAACAAAGACAAAGTCTCAGCCACTACCGTTGGGAGCAAGTGAAGAAAGATTCTTTATGAAAATAGTGAGTTGGTGTTAAGAAAATTTGGACCCTATTAAACACGTTTGGTTTAATCCATAACAAGATTAAACCCGAATTACAACTGGCCGAGTTATAAAAGTGGTTACAACCAGCGTTTCCAAGTCAACAGGTCACTGCTGAAGTCACTTCCAGCATGGACTGACCAGTTTCCTGCTTTTGGGATAAGAAAACCGGATTGTCAATGGTGACGACTCTCATGAGCAAGGTGGAGTGTGCAACCTTCCCAAAGGGGCATGTCTGTTTACCTAATCCCAGAGAGTTTAGGCCCAGGTTGGGAAGAGCAAAGCTTGAGGACCTCAGAGTCCACTCATGGAGACATTTTACACC